TTTTCATGACCTTGATAGTTTAGAAGAATACTGGTTAGATATTTTATAAAATGTCCCTCCATTTGGGTTTGCTTGATATTTTCTCATTATCAGACTAGGGTTATGGGTTTTGGAGAATAACTAGCTGGGAGTAAAGTGCTGTTCTCATCACTTCACACTAAACGTGCATGACATCCACATGACTTATGACTGGTGATTTTAATCTCAATCAGTCTGTTTCTCCCTGGTAAAGTTACTGTGTTTTACCTTTCTGTACTCTAGTGTTTGGGAGCAATCACTGTTGAGTCCAGGAGGGAGGAAGATCTACATACATTTGGAATTTTTCTACAGGAAAAATTTATTCCTTCTCCCCGTTTATTAATTTATCATGTTATTTATATTAGTATGGACTCGTATTTCATATGTTGAATTATACTCTATTACTATATTATTTTGTTTCTCAAATGATTCTAGTTTAGATTCTTTAAGATCAGTCCCTGAGTCTCTTTATATGCCCCCCTATCTTTTGTTTTTCAAACACTTCCTTACTTTCTGGCACTAAGAGATATTCCAGGTTCTTCCTATATTTTCTCTGTCTCAGTATAGATCAGTCATTTCTTTTTACAGGGCCCTGGTTCCTTTTACTGGAGAATGGTAGTTAGAAACCAAGATTTGGGACTGGGTGTGCTCACTGATATTAAGGTGTTACTGATTCTAGGCCCTCCCAGTAGATAGGACTAGGAAATAGAAGTAGTATTACACAGCATCTTGGTTGATACTTTAAAATTTGTGTATTTTAAAGCTCTGTGTACCTTTTATGAGTTTTAACAAATGCTGATTTTTTTAAAGTAAATATTGGCAAAATTCATAGCTAGCAACAGATAATTTGCAACACAGCTGACAATCTTGACAACAGGTCAAAAAGTACTAAATCAGATAATCTTGTAAAAGGATCTTTTGTCCTTTGGCATTCACTAAACCTTCATTTATCATCACTGATTCCCAGAGATTTGTCATGCCCCAGGTTGCATTGTGGTTGGTTATCTCTAGGAGAATCTCAAAATAGTCTGAGATAAAAAGAATTCCCCCTCCCTGAACCCACTGCCTAGGGTTGGAAAGGACTTTTATGGAAAGGAACCAGTGCTTGATCCAGCTTCATCCTGGCTGACCCACTGTAGCCACCATCTAGCAATAATATTTGGATGGCACTGTTTTTCAAATTGTGAGTCTCTAGGCAAACAGTATCAGAATCACCTGGGACATGGTTAGAAATGCACATCCTCAGGCTTTGCCCATACCTATGCAATGAGAAACACTGACATAAGTCCTCTAGGTGATTCTGATAGACACTAAAGTTTGAGAACCTCTACTCTTAAAAGTAACCAGCCATTTGCCAGTGAGAGCCTTATAGACAGCTGTGAGGCTTCATCCTGACTTCCTGCTAGGGCTCTGGGGATGCAGAACTGGTCAGCCAGGGAAAAGGTTGCAAGTGCAGCCAGAGGGTTAAAGGGATGTTTTTCTTTTGGTTTGTATGTTATTAATTGTGATCCACCAGAGAATGGAAAATTTTTGTCTTAGATGTCTAGAGCAATATGTTCTATCTGTTTGAGATAGAAAAGGAATGTCTTAATGAAACTAATGCTTTTTTATTCTTTCATCTTGTTGCTATAATTTCAAAAACAAAGATCACATCAAGTGATCTTTCTTTTAGAGATAAAATTTTAAATTATTTTTACATTGGTCTGTTATATCTAATGTGTAAAATTATGTCACATTTGTGTGTTTTTAACTTGCGTTTATAATTTAGGGAGGTAAAAGTTACTGGCATATAGCATGAACTTGGAGTAAGAAAAAGTTGAGAAATATTTTCCCATCTAGGTAAACCTCTCATGTCTTCTAGTCCCTACCCCCATCTCTGCCCCAGTTAGTTACCTTTGTGAACTCTGATTCTACTTCTCTAACCATTATTTACTCCTTTCCAGTCTCACTGGCCTCTTTGTGATCCCTAGAACCACTTTAAGGCATTTGCTGTTCTTTCTGTTTGGAACATTGTTCTACCAGATAGCTATAAAGCTAGCTCCCTCACTTCCTTCAAAAATTACATTCTCAAAGAGGATTTTTCCCTGGCTACCCTAAAATTTCACACATGGACACACACACTCCAAACACACAAATATATCATGTCCTCCTTCATTTTACACACACATATACACACATAATCTGTTCTGTATATCACCTAAAGCAATGGCTAGCACATAATATGTATTCAGTTATTTGTTGAATGGATGAATAAATATCTCCAGTATGCATTCATGTGACTGAGAGTGAGTAAATTACATGTCAACATTTTTTTTGCTTTATTATTCTTACCCAAGCTGAGCATAGAGGCAGTTTGTCTTCTGTTCTCCTAATAGCCTCTGTTCTGTTCTATTTCCCCAAATTGCCTCTGTTGGAAAAGGGCAGCTATCTAAGGAAACAATTATTGATTCTGTCTCTGTTTAAAGAGCAGAGTCCTTCTAGCTAGCTGGCAGTTAACCTTGCTCCTGTCTAAGTGCCTGCCATAGAGGAGGAATGGGACAGCATGGTGTGAGATGGGTTCTCAAAGGTTACACTAAACCAGAGATTTTCTGGGGAAGATGAAAACGTCCTAGAGGTGGATGTTAGCAATGGTTGGACAATAATGTAAATGTACTCAATAACTCTGAACTGCACACTTACAAGTAGTTAAGGTCTGTTGGCATGGCTTAAGTGGTAGAGCACCTGCTTTGCAAGTGTGAAGCCCTGAGTTCAAATATGTTTTGTCTGTTTTACCACAATTTGGGGAGTTGGGGTGGGACTCAATTCTCAAAGCATTGTCATAAACCAGCAATAGCCTCATCTAGTACAAACTTGTTAAAAATGCAAATTCCCTATATCTACCCCAAAACTGTTTATTTAGAAACTGGAGATGGGTAACAAGCATGCAGCTGACTCTGATATATACTAAGGGTTGAGAATCATCTGAATTTGGAGAACTGTAAAAAACTACTGAAGACTTTCATAGACTTTTCTCATGCCCTCACCCTGCATAATTTCTTGTCAGAAGTTTCGACCACTTTTGGGATAAAATTGAAAAGCAGTCTGGAAGTGTTTTTGAAAATTAGGGTTGTAAGTACTGTTAGAAATTGAACTGAACACTGAGAGTGCCAGCTGTTTCAAGCATCTTGACAAATGTTCCCATGTTTGTTTTCCCTTTTAACCCTGAAATCAGCCCTGGTGCAATGAATATTGCATTATCACATTTAAAATCAGGAAACAAGTTGAGAGCAATTGTAATTTATCTCTTTGATACAGTGTAAACCTGCTGCCCCTATGGGGCACTTATGTTGTGGTTACCAAGACTGAGGCAAGGCATTCTGTGACCACAGACCTAGAAAACGGAAATGAGTGAGGCCTTTTATGAAAGAAATCACACTGCAGTTAATCACCAATCTTTACAAAAATAGAGGTTCTGATTTCTGGTATGTCATGGTTAGGATTATGAAGTGAGAACACTAACAAAATTGTCAAATATTAGCCTTTTCTGAACTGTAGAAAATAGAAGTTTACAATGATATGAAGAGCATTGCATTTATTCATGAAAAATGACTGAACTGTGGTAAAAACAAATGACTCTTGAATAGTTTTAACTTGCTTTATTCCCACTCCCCCTCTCACTTCACAGTAGCCTTGACAACCAACAGCCTATACTATCTAAGAAGCAGAGTCTGAAGGAGGAAGAATGGATTTGGGACTCCCCAATACTCCCACCTGAGAGAATTGTTACTATTTGAGTCTTTTTTGAGACTGGATCTTGCTGTGTAGCCCAGACTGGCCTCATACGTGTGACCCTCCTATATCAGCCTCCCAAATGCTAGGATTACAGGCAAGTGCCCTTGTGCCCAGCTTTCTAACTTAAATCTTACTAAGCCTTGAAATGCTGTTTCCAAGAAATAGAGGAGTTAGAAGAATATATATACCATGGGTATGCAATCAGCAAAATCTAAAATGAAACTGTAGGACTAAGGAGCCCAGTTTTTTTTAAAACAAATAAATGACAAAATTTTTAAAAAGAAAGGAAGCATCAGCTGGTGGAGTGGGTCAAGTGGTAGAGTGCTACCTAGCAAGTGTGAGGCCCTGAGTTCAAACCCGAGTACCAAAAAAAAAAAAAAACCGAAAAAAAGAAAACATCAACCATATCTAATGTATGCATTTAGTTAGAATAAACCAACTATAAAAATACATGAGTGCACTTGGGAAATTTAATATGGCTTGATCATAATTATTGTGCTGATAATAAGGAAATATTTTAAATTATATTAATGGCATTCTGGGTAAGGTTTTGAAAGGTTATTTGAAGATGAGATATTTATGGAAGAACTAAAATGTTTGGAATTTTGTTACAATAGTCCAGTAGGTGGTGAGAGTAGTTAGATTAAGTAAATAATATTTATTGTCCAGATTTTGATAATTGTTAAAACAGGGTGATAAGTACATGGGGGTTTGTAATACTCTATATGTGCTTTGAATTTAAAATTTAGGAATAAACTATATACATATACATATATATATAGCTTAAATTTAAGCAATATATTAAACTATAATAAGTATAGTAAGACATATATTTATATAGAAATATAAATATACTTGGTGACCTGAGGGTTCATTAATCTTTAAGCAGCCTAGATGTCATAATACATATTGGTACCAGGGTCATTATTGGCATAAGACATACATGAAAAGTACTTATATAAAATTTACAGTTGTTGAAATTTTTATGTTGTAAATTTCTAACTTCCTAATCAGCAAAGCATTTATATTTTAAAACAGCACCAAGCATAGCACCTTAAATACTTAACCTATCCTACAGTTTTTATATCTTGCATATGGTATAGTATATTAACTTTCTAAATGAACTCGTTTTTATGTGTGTAACTTACAGCATTTCTCATCTTGAATAAACATCAAATTTTCTCACTCTGAAACATTTATCTCTTTTCTAGGAAATTGTTTTAGGTTATATGAAAGAAATGCTTCCTCCCCTCTAAGGTTTACCAGAAGCTCTGTTTTGAAGACAAGAAATGACTTTTGCACAAAACCACAGGAAAGTCCCAAAGCTCCAACCAGTAAGTTTTTGTTTTATTGGTTTTATGCAGTAGGTGGCTCCCAAAGAGTAGGAAAACTTGGAATCAAAAGAAGCTAAGAGAGGTAGTCACAGGTGTTCTTACATCACACCCAGTCTGTAGCTCAGGCCTCCCCTGTTGTACATACTGGTTGTGCTCACATGAACAATCACTTCTGCATTTTCTTCGTTTGCCATTTCTCCTCTGAGGAGCTTCTTGGCTAGAACATTTTGTAGGAAACTAGATGCGCCAAAGTAAATAGTGGTCTAGAAACTATCTTAAGTCAATCCAAAGATGAAGCCAAATCAAGAAACTGTTTTGGATAAAATAGCCCTGGTTAGGGCTAAGCTCTGACTTAGTAATTGACTTTAGACATATCTAGTCCATATTCCCAAACCCTTGTCACTGGCACCGCTATGAGAAAGATATAATATATAAACTAGAGTCCCAGTCTCTGTTGGTTCTTCTTGGAAATATACTTGTGCCACACAGTTCTTAGTTAATGGGAAGGAATTGTTCCTAAAGAATATTTTTCAAGAACATAAGCCAGGTAATTCCAGTGCTCAGGAGACTGAGGGAGGAGGAGCACAAGTTCAAGGCCAGTCTGGGCTGTATAGCTCCTGTCTCAACAAACCAAAAAAATCTTAAAAAATATTTATACTTTTTGACCTGGTATTTCACTTCCAGGATATATCCAATAGAGTAAAAATCATATTTATAAAATGCTAGGAGTAGCAAAAATTTTTATGTAAAAATTTTTAGAATTATAAAGAGAATTGTGTCAAGTGCTGGAAAGATTAAAAGATAAGACTGTAGCAACACTATTTCTATATTCATAAATGTCTTTTCTCGTCATTGGTTCTTTTTGTATTGTTCTCTTGGTGACTTTTCCATTCCTTTTGCTGTTGTCTTTTAATTGGGTGAAAGCAAAATATGGTGATGGGTATGAATGTGACATGTAGGTAACAGGCAAGGAGATGGCCTTTCTGTTAGAGAGATGTAGGGAGGGAATGAAAATAGGGTTGAGAGTATCTAAAGTCCCTTCTAACCCCAACATTCTTCGATTCCCTCTCTTTTTTTTTTTTCCTTGTCTTCAGTCTTTGACAGATTTGTTGAGTCTAAATGGAATTTATGCCACCTGAGTAGGTTTCATTACTAAGTTGGGAGAAAACTGCTAGATTTCCCTGTTGTCTTTGGTTTGGTACTTTTCCTGTTCATCTACCTCTTGGACATGCTCCATTTTCTTCTGCTGCCTCTTTGTCCTGTCTGCTTTCTTGGGTTACACTTCACAGCTCAGCATTTGATCTTCTGCTTTTCTTTTAGTATCTTCACTGACTCAATTTTTGCACAGATGTTTGTCTCTACTCTTGACATTAATTTTTTTTTCACTGATGTTATAAATCCCATTTAGATTAGCAAATCTGAAATAGCATTTGTGCTCTTTGCCTGACTGGTTCTTTCCATGCTGTTTTGGCTAACAGTACTACTACTGTCTTAGTCCTCCAGTTTGAGGTTCTTTGTGATTACTTCTTTTTTTGTCTTTTGTCTCTAAATTTTTTCAGTCATCTGTCCTCTTTTCCCTCTGCTCCAACTTTGGTTCAGAACATACTACCTCATTCTTATATTGTAGCTCTGCCACACAAACAAACACATGAAGCCAGAAGTTCAAACCCCAGTCACACACACACACACACACAAGACGATAATACCACACAAACAAACACATGAAGCCGGAAGTTCAAACCCCAGTCACACACACACACACACACACACACACACACACACACACACAAAAGACGATAATACAGTTCCCAAATCAATTCCTTAGCTTCATGTTCAAGGTCTTTTCAGACTAGTTGTACCTTAGAACCTTTTTCTTATTCTACTGAGTTAAGCAAACTTCTCACTATCCCTTCTGAGTTTATCCCTTCTTAATTTAACCTTCATTATCTTTGCTCATGGTGTTCTTTCACTTATCAGTGGTTAGGGCTTAATTGGGAAATAGTGCTTTTATTTTACCTTAGTTCTCATGGAATTTTGAATTCTCATTTGAAAAATGAGGCATCCTGAGATATTCCATTCAGATAAAGCTCTTGCTAGCTTAAAGTTTCTCAATTTTTCTGTTTAATGAGTAGCAGTACAAACATTTTTCTCTTGCTAAATTTGAAAGTTATATCTCAAGTAAGATGCCTTGTCTGGTTTTTCTCACAGGCACTTACAGTCACAGAGTACCATTACACAAACCCACGGATTGGGAGAAGAAGATCCTGATATGGTCAGGGCGCTTCAAAAAGGAAGATGAAATCCCAGAGACTGTCTCGTGAGTGCTGAAGTTAGGGTTGTAAACCACTTTCATTTCTCACCAGTCTGTTTTAAGGGAAAAGCAATGTACCTCCAAGTTCCATTTAAAACCTTTCAACCAAATTTGGAAACATTTTTTACTTCTCTAAATGTTTCATCTTTGACAAGCCCAGCACAAAAACAACTGGAAACCCTTTCTCTTACCAGTAGTGTGTTAAATAGTGACATATTAGCTGCCAGGTATTCTCAAGTCTGTTGATGTTTGATTCATCTCATAGCCATAGAAATGTGACTAAACAATGATGTTCACTTAAAAAAAAAATCTGGGTATGCCAATTAGGTGCCAGTGATAATAACTGTATTCTATAAAATCTAGTCAAGATTCAACTTTGGGCATAAAAGTATTTCAGTGCAACTGCTATAGTTTGGATCTTAAATGTCCCTCCACAGGTCCATGTGTTAGAAGGTGTTTGGTTCCTACGGTGATACTATTGGGAAGTGGCAGGAACTTTTAAGAGGGGGGGCCAACTGTGAGGTCTTCAGGTCCTTTAGGGCTGGGTCTCCTCTTCCTCTCTTTTACTTTCTGGCCATGAGGTGAGTGGCTTTGTTCCCCCATATGCTGCCACCTCTGTTCCAAGTCAATGTGGTCAATCTACTGTAGTCTGAAACCTCCAAAACAAAAATTTTTTTTTTTAGTTGCAATAATTTATTAATAGATAACTTGTTAAAGGATGGCTTCACTGTTGAATTCTTTTTTTTTTTTTTAATTTTATTATTCATATGTGCATACAAGGCTTGGGTCATTTCTGCCCCCCTAAAAAATTTTTTTTTTTAAATTTTTTTCTCCCTTGTGCTGGGATTATAAGTGCACACCCCCTACTCCTGGTCACCCTTTTCTATTTGTAAATAGATTATGTTAGGCATTTGTTAAAGTGATGGAAAGCTGACTAATGCACCAACACATTCTCATTCTGAGATTTAGGAAAAAGTGCCTCCTGTTACCAACTTCCTTAAACCTGGCTTTGGTTAGGATCTTGACTTTTTTAGAGTTTGTAAATGATGGGTACTGGCCTCTCCAACCCAGGGTTTCTCAACCTCTGCACTATTGACATTTTGGGCTGCACTGTTCTTTGCTTTGGGGATTGTCCTATGTATTAGAGGATGTTTAGCAGCATTGCTGGTCTCTACCCTCTAGATGGAAGCAGTACTCCCTCAGTGGTGACAAACAGATAGCCAAATGTCCTCTGGGGTTGGGGTGTTATCCCCGTAGGAAACAGTGTTCCAGCCTCATGCTAAAGACTCTGGTTGGATCTTGGCCAGGAGGAATTTTGAGAAGTAGAAAGTCTCCCCTGTGTACATCATCCTACTTAGAGAGAGGGACTTTGGACAATGATTCTGGGAGTTCCCTTTTAGTAAGAAACTAATTGGGCCTTCTGGCTGTGGTTTCAAGTCATGAAATACATTTTAGTTTATTCAGAACATTTTTTCTAGATAGGTTGATAGTGTATACTTTCTGTTTATGATATATTTGAAAGAGCCCTTTCCTTCTGCCAGTCAAATTAGATAGCACATTATTTTCACTAGAAGTATTTCAGCAGGAAAGTCCTAGTCCTTGTTAGCTTAGGTGACAGTGTGTTCTCTTGAAGTAAGAGCATATAAGAAATAATAGTGGCATCATGTTCTCATCCATGCCCTAATTTCTTCTGAATATTACAGTAGAAAACAAGCTAGTATATGCCCAGGGCCCTGACTGATACTGAATAAACTTTCTGCTATGGAACTTACCTACTCTGTCTTATAGTTGGTTCCAAGATCCCCTCAGTATTTTGGTCCTGGTGGGTCATCCTGAAAGGCTCTTCTTTGGGCCTAGGCAACCATTTATCCTTGTATTGGTTTTTCTAAGCAGCCCTGCTTAACTGCCCATTCTTATTGCTCCTTGTTGGCTGAATGGCAAAGTCATGGCTTTCTTTAAATGTATTTTAAATACTTTTTAAATGTTCCCTTAAACGTAAACTGTATTGCTCTTCATAAGAATCATCACACTTCAGTTGGAAATACCAGGCCACATAAAATACTGTCACAATGGGTAGTTTGTGCTTGGTGGGGTCTCAGATGCTCTTAATTGTGCAATTCATTGGCTTTAGAGGTTGGCCTGGTTCCTACCACCCTGCAGGCCCAGCTTTAGTGCCAGGAGAATCACATCCACATTGCTCCCCGAGTCCCAAGTCGTAAATCACATGGTATGGTTGTATGATTTCGGGGGGCCCTGTCCACCTGCAGCACCCCAGGGCCTATGCCTCCTTTCACACTTTCAATGATGTTCCCCTGCTGATTTTCAAACATGCTTAATATGTTAGATATCTGGAAAAAGTAAGAAGCACTCCATCCCATCTTCTAGAGATAGTCACTTCCTATGTATACCTCTACTGAGAAGGCAAAACTTCTTTATCTTGGCCTCCAGTAAGACTCCCCATGCATGCCCTGCAGCTTTGCCAGGCATTGCAGTAATAGAATCACAATCCACTGTTTACCTACAGAATCACCAAGGCCTTCTCTTTACTCTTGCATGTTAAGCTTTGCTTTCACCTAAGAATGATGATACAACCTCAACTTTCTATTAAGGCACATGGGTCTATATTCAGTAGACAGGTTAGAAGAGCTATACTTGGCACTTGCCAACGGGCACAAACATAAGTTCACTGTCACTCAGTTTCAGCAAAACATTAGTTAAAAGACTAACATTAAGGGGCCACTGCTTAAAGGACCTTCCTACTGGTTCAGGTATTCTCAGATCTATTCTTGGTTCAAGACAGAGCAAACTGGCATGGTGACGTACATGCCTGTAATCCCAGCATTTGGAAGGCTGAGGCAGGAGGATCATGAATTTGAGGGCAGCCTAGTCTACATAGCAAGACTGTCTCAAAAACAATGCTGAGTTATATAGAACACATTTTTTGACTCTCTCCCATGTTTCTTTTCTTTCTGAATTGAGCGTTGTTTTGAAATTTAAGAAGCTCATAGCAGTGCTTATTGTTAGGGCATTCTTCAGAAATCATTGTGTTACCTAATATCTTAAGAACTCCAGGGGAGAAGTAGCTACTGGTTTTACTTTACATTGGGTGCTAGAAACCCAAGAACCAAAATTGGGGCCCACCATAGCAAGTGTAAATTAATAGGCCTTTCTTTTTTTTTTTTAAATCTTTGTTCCTGGCTCTATTTTCTTACTTCTTCTGTACTTTAATTTTGTAGTCTCTTACATATAAATAAAATGATTTGTGAACACGACCCATCCTCCCCAAAGTGCTATGAGGTCCTGCCTTCTCTCTATTTATAGATACCACTACACTTTTGGTTTTGGTGATACTGGAATTTGAACTCAGGGCCTCATGCTTACTGGGCTGTACTGCTTGAGCCACTCTGTCAGCCCTACCACTACACTTCTGAGTGTGGTACATAGAGCTTTTTATCCTGCTGCAAATTCAGAAAGAGAAAGTTAATACCTTGTCTCATGACCCATTGTATTATTAGGTTTGAGATGCTTGATGCTGCGAAGAACAAGGTCCGCGTGAAGATCAGCTATGTAATGATTGCCCTGACAGTGATAGGATGCATCCTGATGGTTATTGAGGGCAAGCAGGTAAGGCTAAGGCTAGGGACCAACCCTGTCTCTCTGTATGCTCTCCACAAAGCATGTGGAAGAAAGCACGGATTGACCCTTACTGTCTGAGAAGAGCAACTTTCTACATGAGAAATGACAGGAAACAAAATAAGACACAGTAGGCATAACCCTGAGATATCATGAATAGCAAAGCCTGATTTTGACATGGTGAAGGACTAATTAGTTTTATGTAAAAGAAAAAAGTGTAATCACAGGTGATAAATAATATGAAACAAGAAATACTGTCATATTTTAATAACCCCTGGTCTTATTTATCCTCATTATTAGCTACTTTAAACATGGTGAGCATTCTTGTCACTGTTCTTTTTTTTTTTTTTTTTTTTGCCTTGGGTTTTTTGTTTGAACTCAGTACCTTATGCTTGCTAGGCAGTGCTCTACCACTTGAGCCAGTCCACCAGCTCTTTTTTGATATTTTGGGTCTTAATAACTATTTGCCCAGACTGGCTTCAAACTGCAATCCTGCTGATCTTTGCCTCCCAAGTAGCTAGGATTACAGGTATGAACCATCGGGACCTGGTGGTTTTTTGAGACAGGGTCTCACTTTGTAGCCCAAGCTAGCCTTGAACTCACTGTATAGCCCCTGCTAGCCTCCAACTTATGATCCTTCTGACTCTGCCTCTCAAGTGCTGAGATTATAGATGTGTACCACTGTGCTGGGCAATGATTCTTTATTTGAAGCTCAGCCAAAGTGGGGCTTATGTCTAAGGACTGTACTTCCTAAGTTGGACATAGCAATGTAAATCCAGAAATCTTTGTGTTGATACAGATTATATTTGATCGCTGTCATTAATTGGGCACTTACTGCGTTACAGATACTTTGCAAACTGTTATCTCATTTGAACTTCACAGCAGCACTGTTGAGATATTAGTGGCTCATTTACAGGTGAGGAAACTATAGCTTAGAAAACTTACCCAACGCCACACATGTCCCTAATGACAGAGCCACAATTTGAACCTAGACCTGTTTAATTGAGGTAACAGAATTGCTCCCATTTAGTAGCAGAGAATGTTAAACTCATTTACTCACTATAATAACCCAAAGAACCTGAGAGATAGGTTCTATTATTTCCACATTTTATAAAGGAGGAACCTGAAGCTTAGAGATGTTCAGTAGTGTTTCCCAAACTCACATAGCTATTAAGTGGTGAGATAAAAACTTAGACCCAGTTTTGTATGTTACCAAACCTCGTACTATACTGTCTTGTTATTAAAAGTTACTTTTACACTCAGCACTAGACATACTTTAATACCTGGTCTTTGTGTCATAGCTTCTACATAGAAAGAAATGTCTTTTAACTATTATCAGATATTAAAGAGTCTTCTACACACTGATTAACTGATTTCCTTATGTCCAGCAGCTCCAAAGTAAAAGCAAATGAACTTTTGACTCTCTTTAGAGCCTTGCAGTTACATGGAAAGACTGACCATTTTAGGTTGGCCTCATAGGAGTACAAAGGGGCAAGTGTGCTGACCTGGGTGAAGTTCTCTTGGAAATTCTTATCTTGTTCTACTTCAGTTTTTCCTATGCCTCTTTCATGCATAGTTCTCAATTTGAAATCTTCAGAACTATGTGGATAGCATTGCTTTTGTATAGTTGAATATACTTGCTGAGTTTAAACACTCCAGAAGTAAATAACTCCCCTGGGTTCTCTTCTCCATCATCCAGGGGTATATGCTATGTGCTTTGGAGAGGCTCTCTCCTGTTCTGTATCATAAAATTGTAATAATTATTTTCTGTGGAATGCAGTTCAGAAAAATTAGCCATTGTGTGTTTTGTACTCACCATCAACATCCTATTCCTATTCTCTTCCTCACACCCAACTCTTTACGTAAGAGACAGAAGAAAATACCAGACTGTTTGGGTGCCAGTTTTGCTTACTTGAAATAAAAATTTTGAAACTGATCCATTTATGCAGGCTACATAAAAATTTTAGTTTATGTGGTGGGAAGCAAGGAATGGGATGGGTTCCTTCCCCACTGCTCTTTCTCTCAAAGGGTGGAGTTGTAGTATGGATAGTGCTGGAAGTCATTAGTTATAGTATTTTGGTGAAGTCTGGGATTCCCAATGTTTTTGGTAAAAGGAAGGAGCTAAAAGGGTATGAAAATATGCCCATGAGTTGGGGAAGGAGATGGTAGCAAAAAGAAAAGTGAAAGGAGAAAAAATGATATAAATGGAAATAAGGTATTTAATATAAAAGAGAGAGAAGGGGAAAAACAAGAAAAAGTGAGGGAAGAAAAGCTAAGTATTGAGAGAAGAGGCCACAAAGGAAGAGAAAGGAGATATATGCACTTCTCTCTGCTTGGATGGGCTATTGTACCTCTGAAGCATCTTAAGAAGTAACAGGAAGGGGTTGAACGGACCAAAATAAAGTATCCCACAGTAGGCATACCTTGAGACAGCCCTTTGAACATCAACTTAAATATTAATAGTGAAAAACAGGACTGTAAAATAGGTACAGGGTAAGTTGGGGGTACTAGTAGGGGGAAGGGTGAATGAAGGAGAGATTAAGGTGACCATATATGGTAGGTGGACTTCATATACCTATATGAAACAACTAAGAAACCTCTCTTAATTGCTTTAAATGGGGCAGGGAGGAGGAGGAGGTAGAGAGACAATGGGGACAATGTAACTAATGTACAATATGTCTAATCAGAATTGTCACTATTAATCCCTCCCCATGTAACAAATATATCCTAATAAAAAATTTATGTATATAAAAAAGAAGTAACAGGACACTACTGTGCCATGTCCAAGCAGCAGACCACTTCATACCTATACTACCCTAGTTAATCTGCTGTACTCAGTGCAAAGCAATGACATCTTCTTCAACCCAGCACAAATAGTTACTCATTCAAATTTGTTTCTCCAGGCTGTCAAAAGAAATGAGTCCTTAACAAGCTTGAACTTGGAAAGGAAAGCTCGTCTGAGAGAGGAAGCAGCAGCTATGAAGGCCAAAGCAGAGTAGAAGTCTGTCTCCATGCTGGCTGGATAATGTTACAAGAAGTCTGTGTTGAAAAGGATGTGGTATGAGAATTCACTTCATAAATGTGTGTTTTGCACAAACTACCATTTTCCTATTTCTACAATAGAGGAACGAATAAATTTTCTTAAAGAATGACTTGTTTTATGCTTTGATCCAAGTAAAATGCAGCCTCCTGGCTATTTGAAAAAGTTACAAATGAACAACTTGTTTCAGTTTAGTGTTAATTTGTAGAAAATCAGGTACCATGTCCTATTTTTATTCCCAAAGTAGGTACTAGTTCTTTATTTTTCTCTTCTTTGTCTGAAGAAATTAGGAAGGCCAGCTGAGTACACTGTCCAGATGCATCTTGGAAAGCCAGCCTTCTAAGTGCCATGGTGCCTGTAGTGAGGCTGCTCTCAAGAGAGCCCTGACAAACAGCCAGACGACATTCTGTATCTCAGAGCATGCGAGCAAATGCAGGCTTTTAGAGGTTTTTGAGAATGTACCAGCAAGGTGATGAGAAACATCTGGCCAGGAGTTTGTGAAGACTTAGAAATCCTAGCATCCTGGAGTTGCTTAGGCCAGCAGTCACTTCCTAGCTTCATGGCTTAGTTCCCAATTAGTCCCTTTCCTGCTGCCGAAAAAACTAAAATTTTCAATTATGAAAAACTCATGCATCTTTTTATTAGTGTTGAAAGATAAACATTTACACCTACTGTGTATCTCATGTAGTTTTGACTTTGTGGTATCAAGTTGTCTCATATTTAGGTGTGGATTCTGGTTTCTATCATAAACATTTCATTTATTCACAGATGCCATATTAGTATTAATGTATGACAAAGTCATTATAGCCGTCCCCCATGTTAGTTCTCAGAATTAGAGTAAAAAGAAATATATGCAGCTGCTTAGGAACTTTAATAAAACACTCAGTAAAATGTAACACTACTTTACCCATAGCTTCATAATCTGATGTTAATGATGTCTATATACTTTGACATTAGCCCCTTTTTTGATATTAAGTTCTTTGACTTTTACCACTTGCAAACATTATCAGAAAGCTTTGTTTTTCGTACATTTTAGATTAGTTTTTCTTGATAATTTTCTGATCCCTAAGCCAGTGTTTTAAATATGGGTAAATTTTAATGTGGTACTTTAACTTTGCTTTATAGAGCAATACCATTTTTAACTATTGAGGAACATTTAAGTGTTGTACCTTGTAGATTTATTGTAATAAAAATGTTTCATTAAACTCAAGCTTATAATCATTGCCATGCATCACAAATTTACAGTCATTTCTCATTTTGTGTCATTCTCTATTCAGTAATATTTAGTGACTACCTCTTTATGGATTAAGCATAAATTTATTGGTCAGAATTTTAGACCTGCCCCTAACTGATCCTTCTTCTTTCAATATAACTGAAACACCAACCTTTTAGCTGTCATGCCCTACTAGTACTTCTAATATATTCCTCAGAACTTGTTATGCAGATAAAATTTAATGAGCACTATTAATAAAGTACTGCAAAATATAAAAGCAGCAAGACACTTATGCCCTTATTGCTTTCAGTTACTGTGGTACTGTTTCACCCTTAATGCCCAGATTTTTGTTTGTTCATGTCTCAATGGGTGGAATAGGCAGAAACCACTTTATATTGTTTACCTTTTACTTCCTACAAGCCCTGTGTGAATAAAGTTAATATGTGAGGTTTGGGTTAGGTTTTTTTTTGGGGGGGTGGAACTGGAGTTTGAACTCAGGACTTTTGTGTTTGCAGAGCAGGTGCTCTACCTATAACCCCAGTCCATTTTGCTCTGGTTATTTTGGAGATGGCGGTCTCACAAACTATTTGACTGGGCTGGCCTCAAAACCATGATTCTTCTGATCTCAGCCTCCCAAGTAGCTAAGATTTACAAGAGTGAGCCTACCAGTGTCTGGCCTTTGGATTAATTTTTAATCAATCAATGATCATTTTACATAAAGTAGTCAAGGAATGAAGGAAGGTGTGGCATTCACTGTCATTCATCGACTATTATTTCAGTCCCTTTTCTATAGAAAAACCAACAATACAAAAATGATAAGGACATACTTCCTGCCAGGAATGGTGGGACACACCTGTAATTTATGCTACTGTGGAGGCCTTAGAGGCAGAAGAATCTTGAGTTTGAGAACAGCCCATAGCAAGATCCTATCTGAGGTGTAGCTAAAATGTTAGAGTGCTTGCCTAGCATGTATGAGGCCATGGGTTCAATCCTCAGCACCAAAAAAAAAAAAAGACATCCTGGTCTCAAGAGTTCATTATGTACTGGAAACAAGGCCCATGGAACCATGACAACACAATCTGGCAAATACACATTTTCAACATCACAACAGAAACTACAGAAAGAAACAGGAAAACCTAACTCAGCTGTCCATTAGGTGGGAAGCAGGAATGATGGTTGTACAAGGGTTGAGTTCTGAACTGTGAAGTAGGAGTTAATAGGTCCTGAAGGACAGCATTCTCATCACACAGGCATGCAGTGCCTAAGATAACATGATCTAATAAGGTAGGTTGAGTCACCTCAGTTAAGTTTTAGATTCTTAGAATAAAACTAACCAAAGCTTGTTTTTACCAACTTGACTGACAGACCCAATTCCATGGACTGTTTTGTATCACATCACGCACGATAGCCCCCAAAGAGTGCTGGTGTCATATTACAAATATCTCCAATCCTTTCATCAATACCCCACGCTCATGCTTTTGTTCATCTAACCTCCCAAACCAGAAGCTACACTTCCCTCAATCAGTCATCCTGTCTTGTCAGCTTTTCTTCTAAATATTTCCAAATACAGTGACCCTGTAGGATAGTCATTAAAAGGAACAGAACGGGAAACTGTCCAGGGTCAAACACTTAAGATTCCTAACAGGCTTTAAGATTAGGAGTCAGGGGCTGGGGATGTCACTCAAGTGGTAAAGCTCCTGTCTAGCAAGCATGAAGCCAAGAGTTCAGCCCCCAGTAAAGCAAAAAAACAAACAAAAAAACCCTACAAGAACCATAAAAAGATTAGGAGAAGCTTCAGATTCTAGACGCGCTTTTACAGCTGCCTCATTTTGTAAATTTTGATTACAAATCTCAAAATCTTGCAAGCAAAGATAAATTTAAAAGAAATACAAAACCATGACAAAATTTCAAGAAACAATGTTTTCAAACATCTAAGGTTTTTGCCAACTTGGATTTACTACTTGATTTCCAAAGAGTTTAATAGCTACTTATCCACAATTTAATTGTTTTATCATTTTCTAATGCTGCTGATGCAATGATGTTTTCTGTAGGATGACAAGCTACTGAGATCACGACATCTGTATGACCTTGTAACTTTTGTACAATCTCTTTAGTCTGAAGGTTCCAAATGTAAATCATGTTATCCTCTGAACCAGATACAATCCACTTCCCACCAGTAACTGAAAAACTGGAAAAAATGCAGTATTTCTCATTGTTATGACCAGTGTATGTCTTCAGGCATCTGCCTCTGCTGTAATCCCACAATTTAAGAGTATTGTCCAAAGTTGCAGTAAGAATGTATTTACCATTTGGAGAAAATTTTACAAAAGAGACAGGAGGGTTATCAACACCAACAAGTGTTTTTAAACACTGACCTGATGCAGCATCCCAGATTCTACAGAGACCATCATAACTACCTGACACTATCAATGACCCATTACAATTAAAATGAACGGCAGAAATTGGATCAGAATGAGCAGACAAAGTCTTGAGACACTTCCCTGTCTTTACTTCCCATATTTTCACACTCTCATCAAAAGATCCTGAAATGACGAGGTTGGATAGTGGATTGAAATTACAGCAGAAGACATAGTTACTGTGTCCCTTCAGTGTTTTCAAACATTTTCCAGATCTCACATCCCATATCTTTAGAGTTGTATCATCTGAGGCAGAAACAAGACGACTGGAATCTGATGACCAGGCAACATCTGATATTTCCAGATTGTGACCATATAGTGTTTTTTCATATTTTCCATCATATGCTCCCCAAATTATAATTAGTTTATCAGCAGACGAACTTGCTAGCCATTCTCCATTAGGACTAAATTTAACTGATGATACTGCTGCCCTGTGGCCTGCCAGAGTAAGTTTCAGAGCATAGTTCGGCTTTTCAGGCACTTCCATGCGCTGGCTGGCTGGTGAGGAGAGGGCCAACTGTGCTTCCACATCTCCTGGTTCCTTTGTTGCCATGACTCCAAAACAATAGGTTGCTTAGGCATCCGAGCCTGAACCTCGCAGATAAAAAGAACCCATCGGGTTAAAAATACACAACTTTTATTATGATTTCTGGATTTTTTCTTTTTTTACACCTCGAGCCACTCTACCAGCCCTTTTTGTGATGGGTCTTTACAAGATAAGAGTCTAGCCAACTACTTGCCTGGGCTGGCTTCGAACCGGGATGCTCCTGGTGTCTGCCTCCTGAGTAGCTAGGATTACAGACGTGAGTCACTGGCGCCCGGCTGGATGGTCTTAAGTACTGAATTAGCAACAGGGCTTGGCCTATTTGCTTTCCCTCTTTCTTCTGTCATACAACCAAACGGATCCTGTGCGTGTCTGCAATGAAGATAGAAAAGCTGAGCATTCTGTCAACATGTGAAACTGTCCATCCGGAGGGGGGGGCGGAAGGTCTCCACAGAAAGCATTTTGCCACGGCCCTCCCCCAACTCCAAAACGTTTGAGAACAGTGAGCAACTGTACCACAGAGACCAGGTACTGAGGATGAACGAACCACCACTTCACACAGAAGATTTAAGAAGTCCAAAGAAATCCCGCGCAGCCACCAGAAATTGAGGTCCGAGTATGCACGATACCTTCTCCACGCCAGCGGAAAGTACCGCAGCGTCAATCCAATCAAGCCGGAAGGGCGGCGAGGCGGAAGTGCGAAGGGAGTCACCATAACACCCAGAGTTGACCAATTGAAACCGTCTTCCTGCGCATGCGCACAAGGAAGCGCCGATACTTGCTTCCGCTTTTTGTCCCTCCCACTCCGCGCTACAGGCGCCCCAACAGTCTCAGGAAACACTAAGGTTTTTTTTCCACCCCCGGCCCGGACCTGACCGCCAAGTGTGAGAAGCAATGCATATTTATTACAAAGAGCATGCATTTTTTCTTGAGACTGCTGCGACAAAGTAATGAAATCGCTGATGCCCCTTAGCCACAGGCCCACCCTTCTCATGTTACCTATTGCATGCATTTCAGAAATGCTGCAGGTTAACCCACACTCCTGCTCTGCAGGTAGCTTAGTTGTGGTCCCTTCTGTTTGTAGTGATACCAAACCTGGTGGATAGGGCCTGCTTATCATTGTGGCAGGGGAGTGGGCAGAATTTTTGCATGGACTGCATGACTTCTGGTTTAAGTGTTTTCTCTGAAAACATTTAGAAAAGAATAAACCTGTTAGAGGCCTTTAAAAATCCAGTACTACTAGCAAAGATTCCAACCCTTTATGGTTTAAGTTGCGTAGAAAATGAGTTCTAAAAGTACGTGAGGCTGAAAAGGTCAAAAGAGAATGGTGGAAGAGGGTAAGAAATGGACTTTACTCTTGACTAGGCTTTTGAGCTTTCCCTGGTTGTAAGGTAGTGGCCATAAAAGTACGTAAACTATACACGCTAATCAGATGTTCGTTTAAACAAGGTTTTCCAAAGATTTCCCCGAGCTTGAGACTACCTAAGAGAGGCAAAAACTGTCTGCTTTCCAGGTAGCAATTATCTCTCAAAAATTAAAATGCAACAAAAGGTTCCCTATTGTGAATTTATGGTTGAGTTTTGCCTTTATAAGATATAATAGGCATAATTAGCTCACATGTCGTGAATAGATTAGTAAAACCTCATTGAGAGTCTGTGACTGTAATTTAAACTTTCTATAGGAATCGAAAAAAAAATGTCTTAGCTAGTGCAAATTAACAAATACAAGGACACAATGGAAACGGAATGAGCGTCTTTAAGATAGTGTAGAGTACCCTTACACTGAGTCGGTTCTTAGCTATTAAGGCAAGATCTCCATGAAACTTTTTTGGTTTGATTTTGAACTCATGGTCTCGATTGCTAGCGGTGTTCTACCCCTCCACCAGCCCCCTTCTGTAACATTGAAAAACTTTCCTTTAACAGATTCTAAATTTCAGTTCTGACTAAACCCTGCCTCTTCCTTTCCCTTTCCTTTTTCCATTAGTGAGAGAAGTGGGATAGTGTGATTTTCCGTAGGTAGTTAAGTAAACTAAAGAGAAAAATAGATAATACACATGAGGAGTAGAATGGGGTGTTGTTGCTGGGGTATATTTAGTCCAATATAAATTTCCCAAGAACTAGGGAAGAGAGGGCACACAGAATTAAGAATGTGTTGACAGGGATATTGGAGAAAATTTCAAAAACTTGAAAAATTTTAAAATCCACTCTTGATGTCTGGGATTTTTTGTTTACAAACAGCATCAGGAACTCATGTAAAAAAAAAAGACGACTATGAATATGACTGTTAAGTCTTTTTTTATTCATTAGTCATGTTCTAGTATTAATAACATTGCAGCCCTTATGAATTAGGACTAAGAATTTTATTTCCTTGGGAGGAGAGGGCTTTGCCAACTCAAGCATGTGGGAGCAGGGAATACTGATACAGGTAAATCCAAAGTAGCAGAAACCATAATTAGGAGATTGGCATTTTGAGTTCCCAAGCACAATTTCTTACATGGTTACTCCCTCCCCAGCCTTTGTAACAACATGTATTTTTGATGTCCTTAATTTTCACCAGATAGGTAACTTGTAAGTCTTCCTTCCTGTAGAAATTAACTCCGTTTTAGAGAACTTAATAATTTTGTCAATAATGTATAGGTGAAAGATTTATTCCCCTTATCCCTCACTAAAGATTTTCTAAAGAGATGATACAAATGTGATTCCTGTACTAAGGACAGTTTTTAACACCCTTCATAGCAACTTTTTTTTGGGGGGGGGTGGAAGGGCAGTCCTGTGGTCTAAACTCAGGACCTCACACTTGCTAGGCAGGCACTCTACCACTTGAGCCACTTCACCAGTCTTTTGTGTTTGCTATTTTTGAGACAGGGTTCAGGAACTGTTTTTTGCCCAAGCTGGCTCTGAACCTCAGTCCTCCTGATTTGTTCCTCCTGAGTAGCTAGGATTGATGAGACACTAGTATCCGACTATTCATAGCAACTCTTGACAACAAAATCCGGTTCTCAAAATCAAGCATAGTATTACATACATACAAGCTGCTTTAGATCTCCAGCAAATTATGAAAACCAGGTTGGGCTAATGTGGAATGGCCATATATAATCCAAACTGGAACATTTTTAATGTGGTAGTTTAGACTGCCTAGGCCTCTCTCAAACCCTGTTCGATTTTCTTCCCATTACTGGTCTTTGGGGTTTCCATTTTTTCTTTATCCATCAGTTTATCTTAATAATGCTAAGTCCAAATTAAGGCAGTGATCTTTATTATGGGCCCTCCATTGGCTTCCTCGGGTTAAGTGAATATGTATAAAGAAATGTAAAGCATAATTTTATTTTTTGCAAACCATTCACGATCACAGAAATGACCACACATTGATCTGGAAAAGAGAAAACAATGACTTTTTTCAAAATGCAAGTGAAATAGGGGCAACAGTCATCCAAGCTATTTAGCAAATTCACAAACCCAGGAATTTTGTACTATAGATAAAATACCACAACCTGCAGTAACTGAGACTATGTTTTGCTTTAAATTTTTGTTTTCCGAAAAAAATACATGGCTAGTGAAAAAAAAAAAAAACATTAGGAGAAGCAATCATGGAATGGAGATTTACACCATCTTTTTTACCCCCAATCATCTGTAACTTAAATTGGAGCAATGGATAAACAAAATGTTCTCAAACAATATGTAAAAATGAAAAATCCCTGTTTAATCGCGTAACCACCTGCTTCTACATCAGTTGGAGCTATCTAACAAAATTTTTTCTTAACTTTAAAATATGCCAGACTAGATTGATGAGGTATTTTTGGTATATGTTAAACACATACTGTTGATTATGTGTTAACCTACAGAATATACCCATCAACTTTTCTAAAACAGTTTCTCTGCTATGATAATGTTCGCTTTAGTAAACTTCAGGTCACATTATATTTCCTGAAAGTTAATTACATATAAACACTTAGATGTTAAGACATTTAATATTTGTTATTCTTGGTTTCAAACAATAGGATGAAGGAATTCCTTTGAATTTTCTTTTGTAATCAAGTACCTCTTAATATCACATAGATGCATATTCTATCATTCATTACTGAATGTCTACTATGTGCAAGGCACTCACCTATAGCCTGGCAGACTGCATTTAAGACAAAGAATCTTTAGAGCCATTCCAAATCAAAGTGTTAGAACACTTTGAAAAAAGGACTCAGAGTGGTCAAAATGACTTGAGGTAAGCAGAAATACTAATAAATACAGTAAAGGGAGATGTCCATGGGACAATACTCTTTTACAAAGAAACAGGCTGTGTTTCATTTACAAACATGGCACTTTTTTTTTTTTATAGTACTGGGATTTAAACTCATGACCTCACACTTACTAGGCTAGCACTCTATCACTTGAGCCACACTTGTAGCTCAAGACACTGCTTTCTAAGATAGTAATTTCTTCATTCCAAAGCTTTTCATTTTCTGTTGATACCTCCTATATTTGCATTTCCATGGAAACATGAGTTTAGCCATTATGTTACTAAACTCAAAATCAATCATTTGCATATTCTTTAACCTTTGTTGTACAGTCTGGTTATACAGAATTTTAGCACCACAGAAGGGAAAAGATGCTTGGGCTGAGGACCAATGCATCAGACTATGTAAATTGAAAGCAACTTAGAATAATAGGAGCTACTTTAAAGTGTTGTTGATGAGGAAGAATGGGCCAACAAAAAGGGTTCACCCACCTATGGCTGCTAGTAATTTGGGAGTTCCTGGGAACAGAAGTGTCACATGACCTCTGCTTTCTTTAAGATACAAAACTCAGCAGAGCTCTTCTTTTCCTTTGGACAGCCATTATCTAAAAATTGTGACCTTGGGGCAAAGTAATTTGTTAGCAGTCTTAACTATCCACCTTAAAAAGCAGCTGGAGGATTAATTAATAACAAGGAAAAGCCTTTAGCTAAGCACCTGACACACAACAGATGCTCAAATAAAAACAAACTGACCTGTATTAAAACAGGTTACTCTTCGTATACCTTAGTTAAACCTCACTTGAAAATATAATGGAACTTCTATTCCATTAATAGTTCTTAATTCCTTGTTACCCCAAGCTTCCAGATGCATTTTATGTCCAACAGCAATTTAATACTTTGTTAGCATATGTTTGCTTTACAATCATTATTCTGATGCTCTGGAGCCAATTCTTACAACCCATCCTTTCCTGGCAATAAAGTATGTTATATAATATCCTTTACATTATAGCCAGCATACTACACAAGTCACAGGTGGCTCTTAATAATAATACCTTTAATAATGGTGTATTATTTTGCAGTGCTGGAGATAGAACACAGGGCTTCACATGGGTGAGTGCTGCTCTACCACTGAACCACATCCTCAGCTACTTTTTAACTTTTTAAAAATTACTTTAACATCTGATAGGGAAAGGTAACCCAAGTACTTCCCAAGTAGGCATTTAAATATACATATATATAAATTTAATATGTTTACTTCACAACAGTAAGAAATGATCTTATTAGGATTTAGATTTGAAACTTCCATATATAGGCACACCTATCTATGCAAATGAGAACATTTAGGGATGTAAGAGGTAATGCACAGTATATAAATTGAAAGCAAACAATACCATCTTTCAAAGAATGAGTTCCTTTTTTAACTGTTCATCCTTAGACATAACAATTTCTAATTTATGTAAAAAGTTTTAGTCCCTATAATGACTTGCCTGCTTTAATGCAATTTTCACAAGATTTATCAGCAAGAAAAGAAATTCCTTGACCCGAGGAAACTCTTTTTATAATGCAGCCCCAAGTTTGGGGATCAAACAGTTGCAATGTTTATTTAAACATTATTTAAACTAGAGAAATAAATCCAAAGTTGCCTGTAGATAGCCATGTACAACACAGGATTTTGTTGACAGCTTGATTGATAAATTATACTTACATATTTTTTTCCTTAAATCAGCAGAAACTTGTAGTAATTCAGATATATTATGGGACAAATGCTAATTTTCTCTCTGTGACAATAAGGCCGAAAACAACCAAGTCCAATCTGTTATATGGAAGAAACAATCCCAGGGCAACTGAGTTTTCAAAAGCAGTATAATTGATGGAGGCAATAATTAAGAAGGATCTTGACTAGTTAGTGACAGAATGTAAGTGTTCTCCTAAACATTTCCTCTCTTCATGTCCATCATCTGTACCTTCCCTGTTACATCTCTATTCAATCTTATGTACTTGCTGGTCCTTACACACCAGGTGCTTTTACATCTCAAATTTTCTGAATATTTCTTTTTTTTTCCCTACCAAAGTTCTTACTACAAAGAATGTATTTTGAAAGTTTGGAGGAAGAGGAAAAAAAAAGCAAAGAAAAAAAGCAAAGGCTACTTTCTCCTAAATCAGTATATAAAGTCACAGAATTTTCTTGTGTTAAAATTAACATGCAACGAGTAATATCTTTGTGATAAAAGTATTCAATAAATTGAAACCAAATTAATAGAATCTGTCAGGCAAAAGTAAAAATAGGAATATACAGTTATCCCTTAAAATGCCATTTCTATTACCTAAGAGGCTGCATTATCAGTACCAAATTCCAGCACATCTGAATCATACTGGTATTTATCTTTAGTCAATTCCAATTCTTATACTTAAAAAATCATTTTATTATGAAAACAAAAAGTTTAATTCAGATCCTAAGGTTCATGAACTTCTAGGACCAAGTGCAAGATAAATTCTTCTACTAAATGGACTTTAATTCATTCGTTGAGACACCTGCAATTGCTAGCAAAAACTCCCATTGTATGCTACTCTTACTGATATGGGGAGACAACTTTGTGTGCTTTATATATTTTTTTCCATTCAAATGGTTTATAAAATGATAATTTTTTAGTTATCCAACAGAAGGTACATAATTTAAAGCATTATATAGAAATGACACATTACCAGTAATTTACAACTTAAAAAACTCAGCCACAAAAAAGTCAAAGCTAAAAACAAGATATTTACTATGAATCAGTGCTTCTATTACCCTTCTGAAGTTATATTTTAATGTGATGTAAAGGCAACATTGAAAGTTCTTCTTTAAATTAACCACCTAATTAATCCCTAAAATTACAAAGAATCAAAGTCTTTTACAGGTCAAGTGCAGTAAACTAAATTTTTCTCTCAGCACAAAGCAGCACTAAAAAAAATAACAGTATAGGTGGGACTTGACTAGTTTTGCAGTGGCTGCTCCATCAATAACAGACATCAGGCAGTATCCATCCCAGAGCACAGACACAACTACAGACTAGAGGTAAAAAAATGCATCACACTCTTGGCTGATAAATGTCCTTTTTTCTCTGAAATCTTTCTAGTTTAAATGAAGTGAATTTTAAAAAGTAAATCAGGTCACATAAGTTGGCTGTTTAAATAACATCATGATGAGGTATGAAAGCTCTGAATATTCCTTACATTCAGCAGGATTTACCAGAGATATATAATAGCTAGTCAGGGGCAACTTCCAGATAGTTTTACACTTTGGGGTTATAATAGATTCTAGAAGAGGACGTCTAAGAGGTTTAAAAGGATGTGCTCTGAAACAGAAGTGAGCAATTTTTCCTTCAAAATTCATTTTGAACAGAACATCACCAAAAAAAATCTTCTCTGACAGTGTATCCCAACATTGAGTCAAGATGGCCACCTAGCACCGAGAAGTCGATTGAACTCATTTGTAGTTCTCTTGGCAATTAAGCTTATTTTTTTCCATTCCAGTCCAAGTACAAGTGTGGATCAATGAGCACAGTACTGGAAGCGCCACTTGCAGGTGCAGATTGCAGTCATCATTAAATGAGCCAGAAGGTGGATACAGTTTTTATTAGGGGTAGGGAAAGGTAGGGTACTAGTAGTAGATGACATAAAACGATCAGGGAACACTGAAGTTATTAGAAAAAGATCACTGCCCTTATTTGAGTTAAGCCAGTCATGTTGAGAAAATGGTTATTTTTTTTTTAAGGTAAGAATGCTACATTACAGGGATCATATATGCAGCATGAATACATTAAAAACAAGCTGCACTTGCTAGGAAAAAAAAGTCCCTAAGTAATCTTTAAAAGTATGTGTTATCTGCCAGTCTTGGAGGGGAAAAAGCACCTAGGGTGAACTCCAATTTACCGAGGACCTTTATCAGGACCACAAAGCCTGAAGCATTTGTTGTAATACAGAAACAGCCTCTAATCACTCTATTCACACTGGTTGAGTTTGGGGCAAGTAAAAGGACTTGGTTTTCTTCTTACACTTTTATTGAATTATAGGATATAGTTTTCACTAAGAACTCTAAATTTTCATACCAGCATTAGAATTAAAACAAATTCCAAATCCTAAGACACATAAGACCAAAGAGAAGCAAAAGCCATACAAATTAGTATGTGCTCCTCTCCTTCCTGCTTTTAGGGAGTCTGCAAACCAGCAACACATTTAAGAATCAAAGTGTTAAATCTTCAGCATTCCTGACAACTAGAAAGCACATTCACTGAAGGCTGAAGGTGAGGGAGTGGATGGTTTAACTTTAATATCTGAAGAATGGCGCCAATATAGGAAAGAAAACCATCCAATGTCAGTAAGGATTAATGCAAATTTGGCTAGAAAAAGCCACCAGGATAATCCAAGGGTTCACTGTGGAAGAACTCATGAAAAGTACTCTGAAGTACGTACAACAGGTCTAAGTATCTCCCTTGTTGCAAGTAGCTGTGTGAAATTCAAGATAAAGGTTTAGTTTTATCTTTTAATGTCAAAATTCTTCCCTACCTTTAAGGGAATGAGGAGTCCTCTTTTTACCCCCACAAAAAAGGGAGCCATGTTAATATGTGTATATTCCCATGACTCTAACGTAAGTACGGATCTCCAAAGCCTAGGGATTTTTCCGTAAGAGTGGGTCGTTCTGGTACCCTTTTATTACAAGGGTATTCACCACAGAGAGCCAGAGGTTTTCCAGATGTGTGTAAGAGAGCAGGTGCGCAAGGCAAGCAAATGAGCGCAAACAGTATTATGGAAAACATTTGAGAAGATAGCTCCATGAGGACTGTGGGCTCCACAAGAGGACTCGACTGGGTAGCCTGGTGTTACACAGGAACATGAAAGCAGAGCATTGCTTCAAAGCTGGAAACCTTCCATAGGAGCCTCACACTGCTGGAAGATGTACTGCTGCTGGCTAAGGTCAACCTGGGGTGCAATGCTGCTGTCCTCATCTTCAGTTCCAAAGTAATGCTCAATAAGATCAAAGGCCTTCTGATAGATCTCCTGGTTTTCATGACTCTGTAAGAATTCAATTTTATCCAGACCTAGAATTAAGAATAGATGAAAATCTTTATTGGAAATTCCACTAAACTATATTTTGCTTATGTTTCCTTCCATCATGAAAGGAAAAGTCTCTACTTATATCTTATATTTTATAATAGTAGTCATTACATCTGAGTTGAAACACAAGATTACGTATGAAAGCTATTATAAACTGGAATCTTAAATACGTATGTAAACCAAATCCACTCTGCAGAAGCAGCAATTTCTGTTACAGTTACCACATCATCCAGTGCCTTACACTATTAATATTTTTACTGGACTGTATCTATGGTCTAATTCTTAGCCATAAGTTTCTTCAGTCAAGGCATCTTACCATAAGCTTCTTCAATCAAAGCGCAATATGGGTTAATGCCAGTGCCATTCCTTTTGGCTTCTTGTTCGCCAAGCCTCAGAATATTTTCCAAGCCATTTAGGGCAACTTGTACAATCTTAGAATCCATGACAGTGAGGAGATCACAGAGCGGCTTGATACAACCCAGTTCTACTAGGTACCTACATTAATACAAAGGACATTTAGTCAAACAAGATATTTAATTTTGTGAAACTTTTATGAAACTGGTGAAAGAGTCTCAAATTCACTATAGAAGTGAAAATATATACCAAGTCAACTATACAAGCTATATACAAAAAAGGCTTCAAACCAGTTATCTGGTTCATGAGTTTTGACTACAAAAACATAGGAATTCTCTGTTTTTTTCCTTTGGTGGTAGTTTGAACTCAGGGCCTTGAATTTGCTAGGCAGTTGCTCTACCACTTGAAACATGCCCTCAGCCCTTTTTTGTTTTAATTATTTTTCAGGTTAGGGTGTCAAGTTTTTGCCTAGCTGGCCGCAGACTATAATCCTCCTGCCTATGTCTCCAGTGTAGCTTGGATAACAGGCACAGACTTCTGTGCCAGGTTGAACAACTGAGATGAGGTCTTGCTAATTTTTTGCCTGGAGCTGGCCTGGAACCTCCATCCTCCCAATCTCTACCACCCAAGTAAGGGGGACGATAGGCATGAGCCAACAGTATGATTAATGGGGTTAATGCCATCTTTGTGTCTATAGGTAGCCACAGTTCTCGAACATGACAACACATTTCTTTCTAAAAGTCAGCACAAGCCCGAGAGGCCAAGTCTTTTCTATGTGATTACAATTTACTAAATTAAGTTGTAAGGAGAATATAGGAAGAATAAAACAAATGTAAGGAAGATTTTAGGGGTTTTTTTTTGGCAGTACTGGGGTTTGAACTCAGTACTTGCTAGGCAGGTGCTCTACCACATAAGCCATTCCACCAGTCCTGATTTGTGTTGGTTATTTTTGAGATAGGATCTCAAGAACTATTTGTCATCAAACTGTAATACTCTTGATTTCTTAATTGTAATGAAGGTGAGACACAAAATTATTACATCATCTTTACAGCAGATAGTAATGTTATTTTGTATCACTGTAGTTTCTCAAGTAGTCTTTGGAAAGGCAGAGATTATGAATGTGAGTAATGTCATTTTGGAACTTACTGCTAATGCTAATCATTTCTCATTCACTTTTTTTTTTTAATTTCAAAAATATGTAAAAATCTCTAGCCAGAGAGAAAGAAGACAAAATTATAAATATCATAAAATAAAAAGTATCACCACTGCTGATCCCATGAACATTAACAGGGTAATAAGGGAATAACTTTGCCTACAAATTTGGTAACTTAGATGACAAAATGTACCAGTTTCTTGAAAGATACAACTGTCAAAATTCACACAAGGAGAAATGGATAATTTGAACAGGACTTTCATAGGTTTCAATGATGAATTCTATCAACATTTAAGAACAAAATGATACTAGTATTCAACAATCTCTTCTAGAAATCAGAAGCAGAGGGAACACTTAACTCATTTTATGATGCCAGCATTTCCCTAATACCAAAACTAAACACACATTACAAATATTAGTGTTATTACAGATCAGTGTCTGGATATCAGAGATACAAAAATCCTCAACACTACCAAATAAAACCCCACAATATATAAAAAGAATTATACATTAAGTGGGATTTATTCCAGGTATGCAAGGCTGATCCAAAAAAAACTTTTTTAGATTAATGTAACCCACCCATCACATCAACATATGATCAAAAAAAATTTAACAAAATCCAACCACCATAACTGGAGTTTGAACTCAGAGCCTCATGCTTTCATGCTTTCTAGGCAGGCACTCTACCAGCCCTTTTTTGTGTTGCATATTTTTTGAGATAAGAGTGTCTTGCACTATTTGCTGGGCTGGCTTTGAGCCTTGATCCTCCTGATCTCTGTCTTCCAAGCAGCTAGGATTATAGACACTGTTACCCTGACTGATTAAAAAGAAGACAAAACAATCAAAAAAAACCCTCTCAGTATACTTAGAGTGAATTCTATTAACTTGCTAAAGAGCCTCAACAAAAAAATTCAGTTAACATACTTGATGAGAAAGACTGGAAACAAGGAGAAGCTGTACTCTCTCACCACTTGTACCCAATACTGCACTAAAGTCCTAGCTATTGCAAAAATTGGGAAATAAAAAGCATACAAATTGTAAAGGAAGGAATAAAACTCTGTTTTTACAAGTTATATCTATTTAGAAAACCCCAGAGAACTGACAAAATACATTCTGGGCTTATAAGCAATTATAATCATAATGCATTTAATTTGATACAAGGTTAACATAAAAAATTCAACTGCTTTTTTATATTCTAGTAATTAGGAAATTTCAAATAAAGAAAACAGTATGTAGTAGCACTAAAAAAGTTATAAATATGACAAAATATGTACAGTATCTACATGAAGACTATCAAACTCAGGTTAAAGAAATCAGAAAAGATCTGATAAATGAAAAAACAGTCCACATTCATGAACAAGAAGACTCAATATTTCTAAGTATTCTTCCCAGCTTGATCACCAGATTCATGTGATAATCCCAATAAAAACCTAGTAAGATTATTTTAAATTTATTTTGGTGGTTCTGAGGGTTGAACCCAGGGCCTTGTGCTTGCCAGGCAAGTGCTCAACCAACTTGAGACACTCCTCCAGCCCTTTTAGTGCTATTTTTTTTTTTTAAATGGTACTGGCATTTGAACTAAGAACTTTGCACTTACTAGGCAGGTGCTCTACTGCTTAAGCCATGCCTCTATCCCTGCACTGGTTACTTTTGAGATAGGGTCTCCCTTTATGGCCAAGTCAGCCTGAATCACATAGGTGCTTCCTCATGTAGTTGGGATAACAGGTGGATGACACCCTCCCAGCCATGGGTTGGGGTCTAGTCAATTCCATCTCCCTCCCACCCCCGATGGCCTCAAACCACAATCCTCCTGATCGCCATCTCTCAAGTAGCTAGGATTACAGTCTTAAACCATAGTGCCTGGCCCCAGCAACATATTTTATAAATATCAAGAAACTGACTCTAAATTTTATAGGGAAGACAGGAGACTCAGAACAGCTAACATAATATTCAAGAACAAAATTGGAGGAGTGACATTACCTGACTTCAAGACTTAACTCTAAAGCAACACTAAGCAAGACAGCATACTGTGGAGAAAGTAAGCAAACAAATCAATGGAACAAGTAATATCCCAGAATCACACCCACACAAATCCATTCAACTGGTCTTTGACAGAAGAACAAAGACAGTTAATAGAGAAAGAAGTGTCTTAAATCTATATACAAAAATAAACCTAGACACAGACCTTACACTTGCCACAAAGACAAACAAAGGAGCCATGAATGGTGGTGCACACATGTAATCCCAGCATCTGGGAGGCTAACGCAAAAGGATTTTAAGCTCAAGGCCAGCCTGAGCTACAAAGTGTTATACTAACACCAAAACCAAAACAAACCAAATAAAAAACCCAAAAGCACCAAAACAAACAAAAATAACTAAAAATGGAGCAAAGAACTACTTGTAAAATATAAAAACTATAAAACTCTTAGACGGTAATAGGAAAAACATTTAGATTTGGCAATAACTTTTTAGACCCAGCAAAAGTAAATCTAATGGCTGGGAGAATGACTCAAGTGATAGAGCAAGTTCCCAGCAAGCACAAAGTCCTGAGTTGAAACCCCAGTAGTGTACTCCCAAAAGTACAATCGATACAAAAATTAATTAATCTGGACTTTATTAATATTAAAGTAAAAAACTGCTCTGTGAAAGGTACTTTTGAAATTAAAAGACAAGTCACAGACTGGGAGAAAATACTTGCAAAACATATTTGATTTTAAAAACTTGGTATCCAACATATACAAAGAACTCTTAAAGCTCAACAAGAAAATGAAAAATTTAATTAAAAATGGACAAAGATCCGAACAGATAATTTACCTAGGAAGATGTGCAGATAGAAAATTTAAGACATTATGTCATGACATTAGGGAACTAACGAATCAAAATAACAAGATAACTACTATAAACCTATCAGGAATGATTACATTCCAAAACAATTGAAAAACTCAGATGCTGGCAAGCATGTGGAACAACAGGAACTCTTATTGCTGGTGGGAATGCAAAATGAGATAACCACTTGACAGTTTCTTGGTAGATATTTTGGAAGACTGATAAAGTCAGTCAATTTTCTGTAATTTGGACTGGGAAATTTTTTAGTGGGGGTAACTGGGGTTTGAGCTCAGAAGCTCACCTTTTGCTCCAGGTTATCAGGTTAGGGTCCTGCTTTTTTCCCAGGGCCTTCAAATGTCAATACTCCTAACCCTCCTACCTATGCCCACCATGCTTGACTTGTTTTTGTTGGGATGGAGCATTAATATAACTTTTTACCTGGGCTAGCTTTGAACCACCATCTGCCTGATCGCTGTCTCAAGAGTAGCTGGGACTACAAGTATGAGTCAGCATGCCCAGCCACTGGAATATTTTTAAATATTCTTTCAGGATTAACACTTCATCTGGATAAGAAGTAACTGCTAGAAAACTGGTAATTAACTTCATTATTATAAATATGTTGAATTTAAAATTTAACACTCCTAGATACTTTCTGATGTATGACAGCAGGATATTTTAGACATATTTTAAATCCCATCACTGCAAAAAAAAAAATGTTTTAAAGTAGGTATATTCATTTCAATTAGGAAAACATACCTGGCATAAAATACAGAAGTAATCAACAAATGTAAAAATGAATTTGAACCCTATTCAGAAAACTACTTCATATTATTGACATCTGTGATGAACAACTCAAAATCCTAGTACCATGATCTTAAGAGTTTGAAAAAAGACAAATACACTTCTGAAGATGATTTGGATGAACTTTACCAAAATAACTACTGCATGTGTCACTCTGTGTGTAATTTTATTATTTCAAGTACGTATTTCTTACTTTTCTTTCCCTGGTCAATTTCTACAATTTGTGAAGACTACGAAGACTATTTCCCATTCTGGGACTCCAACATGACCAACAGAAAAAAAAAAAAAGAAAAATGATAAAGAGAAAAATGGAATTTATACTCTCAGCTTGCCTAACCATTCATAGTGGGAAATTCTGATGAGGGAAAGATGGTTCCAAAGAGTTTTTTAAGCATTCACTTTCCTTATATGCAATATCAGACAAACATTCTTACTGTTGCTTTGTGGATTAGATAGGTACTTAACAAATAATTATTTTTAAGTGTTCTGTTGAAATAATCTTAACACTCTCTGTTCCTTACCAACCTCTTCTCTGCACTTTGCAGAGCTGATTTTCCATGCTTATATTAATTTATCTACCTATTAAGATTATAAGCTTGCTACCAAGGAAACCAAATGAAGTGCCTGCCTAGCAAGGGTAAGGCCCTGAGTTCAACCTCCAGTACTGCCAAAAATAAAAGTTGTCAGTAAGGAATGGAGCATATCGAAGGAATAGATAGTCACTGATTCTTCTTTGGGTGGGGTGGGGGAAGTGAGAGAACAAAGTGAATTTAATGGAAGGGGTGAACTTGTTCAAGGTACACTGTAAGCATGTATGAAATTATCACAATGAAATCCTCTGGTATTATTAATGATAAATCAAAAATAAAATTTTAAAATTAAAAAAGTCTTTAAAGTCTAATTAGACTCAAAAGTCTAATTATGATACTGAGAAAGTCTTCCAAAAAGGCTGGAATTAAACATGCTTAGTTAGTAAGATTATCTCTCACATTTTCCTCAAATGCACTTAATAATCTTACATTTTAGGTAATACTGGGGCAAGGCAGTTATAAACACAATGATTTTTTCTTTAATTTACAAGATGCTACCTGGCTAATACTTACTTAATCTGTTCAGCTGATCCTCCAGATGTTGCATTTGTGATGGCCCAAGCAGCTTCTTTCCTAGTCCGAAACTCAGCAGTCTGCAAAATACTAATAAGGGCCGGGAAAATGGTGGCATCTATCACAGTCTGAAATTAAAGAAAAATTGAAATAGAAAATGAAATTACAAGATTTGCAAAAACATTTCTAATTATAACTTTTGAAGTAGTTTCTTTAATGACACACTCACATGTACACACCCCAGAAATAAATTGGAAGCAGTTAAGTCCTTATTATCTCTAACCTTTAGGCTATACTTGGTATCCTGGATAATCCTCTATAGAGTTTGTGATTTTAAAATTTCTTCATTTTCTCCCTGAGTTCTTTTCTTTTATTGCCCTCTTTTGTTCTACCCACAGGAACAAATTAGAAAAGTTCAATTCTCTGTTCCTCTGCTAATCTCATTTCTTTCACTACTCCCTCTCTTGTATGTATGTTGTGACTCTTTATTCCTCACCTGTCACTGAAGTTCTAGCCCAGGGTAGCCAGCAGCTTACTTCAACTCTGCTACTCATCTCAAACAACCACATAATCTGTCCTCTGTATCAGTCTCCTTTTAAACTTCTCTAGTTCACAAAGGAATTTATTTATATCTTCATTCTAAATTCAATCAGTTACCAAGTCTCCATATCATTCTCAATGTAAAACATCCCAACTCCATCTTTTCCTTTTCTTTAAAATTCCTGCCTGCCATACTACTCCATGCTACCACTAATGAGATTACCAAGTAATAATTTCCTTATTAGTTGGATGAAGAACTTTAACTCAATCCCACTTATATATTAACATTACAGTAGTCTTGCCCAAATCACTTTCTTCCTGTTTTAGATTGGCACAGGAACCTAAATGTGTTGGTATAATGAGAGGTTTTACCTAACAGCCTGTTGGTGGCAAGCTGAACTCACTTATGTACACCACATATGGCTATGAATCTCAGGCTCTAATTCAGCTGTCTGAGGAAGGCTAATCACACTTTCCTGGTCAAGAACTCTTTCTATTATACAAGTGAGGGAAGCCCAGAAAAGCTAAGTGGATAGACACCTAATCCTGGTCATACCATTTACTGAATTTTTTAAAGATGTTAATTTATTAACAATTATATATATTTATGGGGTACAAGGTAATGCTTCAACAGGTGTATTCACTGTGATTAATGAGAATGTTGGATCTATGATCTCTTATCATTCTTCTCAGCTCCAAATCCCATAAGTCTATATCATGTCTTCTTCAACCCACTGTTGCAGCCATGCCGAACACTTTGGCCTAGTGCTTGTTTATCTTCCACTTAGGTTGCTTTCCCATAGACAGAAAGGCAAAAGTAAAGGGCATTTAAAGAAAAATAGGTCTCCAAAGGTTCATGAAAAGTGGAAGCATAAAGTGGAAAATAAATATTTCACTTGGCAAGAGTAAAGCCAATCTGTTTAGCATAAAGTCCATCAAAACATTTAAAAAATGTTCCAAGATCCACTTTTCTTGGATCTTGAGTAAATCAAATATTAAAAGGCAAAGGGAAAAACTCAGGGCCTAAGTAAAAATTTCAAGATTTAACATCTATAAGCAAGGAAAAATAAAATAAGTACACTATGAAATAACAACAGTTATTTTCAAAGCAGTAATTTATATATATTAAAGGCTGACACAGGAAAAAAATCCTTATCAGTCAATAAAATCATAGAAAGAAAGAGGTACTATGAGATTACCTGGATCTGTGCCCTATTTCCAGCTGTGATATTAGATATTGTCCAACATGCTTCCTTTTTGATGGATTCCTTTGGGCTACTCAGCAAATGCAATAAACTCTGAAGAGCTGAGCAATTCAAAATTACCTAAAAGAAAACATTTAAAATTTTTAACTTATTGTTCCAAATAAAAGTAAATCTTTAATTCAAAGAACTTATTTTAGGAAAAATACAAATAACATCAACCCTTGAAAATTTTAAAATAAGTAACTTAATACATAATTTAGTGCTAGTAAGAATTGGTTTCTAAGATTATCAAACCATTTTCACTGTACATATTGATGACTACTAAAAGTATACTTAATAAAATACAACAATGAGCAGGTATGGTAGTGCAAGCCTATAATCCCAATACTCAAGAGGCTGAGAACCACAGGTTTGAGGCTAGCCTGGGCTACACACTAAGAGACGAAGTCTCAAAAAAGAACCTTGAGAAACCAAAAACCAGTCATGATGTTAGTAGTATTAGTAACTGTAGTACAGATTACTCATTCATTTTACTGTCCCTACAGCTAAATCTAGATGGGGGAATATATCTAGTGACCAGAATCAGAAGTAGTCTCAGATTTTTAAGTCCTCTGATAACTCTGTATCTTTAAGTCAATGTACCAATATATACTTAGTGAAATATGTTAAGTGCTACAGAGGATACAAAGATAAAAAATATATGAACCCAATTACCAAAGAGCTTATAAAAGCAAGGGAGATAAAACAAATACAAATGGAAAGTAAGGAAGACCTACTCTAACAGAAACTAAGATCATAAAGTTAAATGCTTAAAGTAGTATGTGATAAGACTCAATTACTAAATAATCATATACAACAGAGTAATCATCTAATCCAGAAACAAATTCACATATTCATAAAGAACTAGGTAGAAAATAAAATTTAATCCCCCCATCACTGTGTTTTTATTCAATATAAGTAAAATTAAAGTTTAATACATGGAAAAAACACTTTAAGGGCTGGTGAAGTTGCCCAAATGTAGAGTGCTTACTTAGCAAATGTGAGGCCCAGAGTTCAAGTCCCAGTATCTCCCCACTTCCCCCAAAAACACCAGAGAGAAAAACAGTTTGAAATCTATTCAAATTAACCCTTGCAACCAACTGAAAGAATGAAGAAAAAACTAAACAAGCAATAAATAGAAGAAAATATCACTAAGTAGTTGATCTGGGAATGCTGAACCTTTCCAAACATGAAAACAGAGAGTGAATAATATTGAAACACAATGTATTTGTGTATGAAGATAGTATTATATGATACATTGTAAGCTACTGAATAATAGGGGAGCAGGGTGACAGAGAAGAGTAGAGGGAGTTAATCTGATTAAACCATGACATGTACATTTCTGAAATACCAAGGCAAAACTCCCTTGAGCAATCAATATACACTTAAGAAAATGAAGGACAGGAAGTTAAAAACAGGTCCTGTCTGGGGGAGGGTGGGGAGACCAGTGGGAGAGGAGAGGTAAATGGAGAGGGTGAAGGAGGGCAAATATGCTGGATATATTTTGTATACACCTATGAAAAATGAAAATTGTTGAAATTGTTCTATGAAGTGGGAATGGAGGATTAGGGAGAATGATGGAGAGGGTAAATCTAATTAAGATATATTCTAAGTACATTATGTAAATGTCACAATATATCCCTCCTATATAACTATTTTGCTAACAAGAAAACCCAGAAATTATAGTAGGAAAAAAATTATTTCATGTCAAAATCTTAATTAAAATGCATATCACACAAGGTGAAAAAGTATTTGCAACAATAAGAGGACTGCTACCTTTATTATGTAAATTGAAAAGAAAATCTATTAATAGAAAATTCCCTCACATGTAATAAAAGAAATGCAAATCAAAATTAGGACATCTGTTGCTTATTAAATACAGTCCCCAAAATAATAAAACTTACAGCTAAACAGGTCTTTCTAAAGTCAATTTGATCATAAATATCAAGAAGCATTTTAAAAAACTCTACAATTTGAGGCTAGGGAAAATAGCTCAAAGAAGTACAGTACTTGCCTTGAAAGCCTGAGACCCTGAGTTCAAACCTCAACATTGCCACAAAACAAAACACAACAATTTGTCACAAATAATTACACTGCTGGGTTAGCTAGCTAGAGAAATGATAAAGGTTACAACAGATTGTTAATTGAACATAAAACTGCATACACAATAAAAGCATCAGAAATACATAAAGCTGGGGGTAGTGCTACATGCTTACAAATCCCAGCACTCAGCACTGGCTGAAGTAGGAGGGACCTGAGTTTGAGGCAAACTTGGCCTCATAGCAAGTTTCAGGAAAGCCTGGACTATATTGTGAGACCCCATCTCAGAAAAAAAGGGGGAGGGGTAGGGATAAAGAAAAAAGAAATACATATATATAGATACAGGAAATTATTAATACTGATAATAATTCCAGATAAGTAACCGTGACCTCTTCACATTTTCCTCTGTTTGTTAAATTTCCTTTAATGTAAAAATATTTTTAGTTCAAAATCAAAATAAACTTGAAAAAAATCCCATAAACACCAGTGTAAGAGATGGCATAAAGCAATTTAAAAAATGCCAAAGAAGTGGTTTGGAAAATAAACATGCCAGAAATTAAAGAGAATACTTGGAGAAGAGCAGTCAAGAAAAACTTCATGAAGGAGGCTTTGGAATACAGGTAAGATTTCTTAGGCATGTAGAGACTGGAAATGGAAAAAATGCAGTCATAGGCTACCCCTATCAACAGGCTTACAAGAAGAATGAATTAAAGTCTTAAGGTAGAAATCTGTCACTATTTTAAGATTCTTTATCTCACATACACTAAAGAAGTTCTTTGTTTCTAAGAGGAAAATATGAACAAGGTTATTTTAGGGAAGATTAAGCTGTTATTGGGGGGAATAAACTAAGAGGAATAATTGCTTGGAAGTAGAAAGATAAAACCAGGAAGGTACAGCAAAAACCTTTGTGTATGAAAAGACAGGGACCAAAAGAAAGTAATTATAAATGGTTCTAACAACAGTAAAAAACAGTAAGACTTGATGGTTTACTATACAAGGAACCCAAATTATGACTGCTAAGTTTCAAGTGTGGGTGAACAGGAAAAGTTACTGATCCAAATAGGAAAAAATCAAGACTGGGAGCTTGCTTGGTGGGGGAAGAAAACACATTTTGAGACAAATATGAGATAGTAACCAGAAACACCAAACAGACTACTGGAGACATGAGACTGGAACTAGACAAGCACATTATCATGATGGTACCTTACCAGTCCCTAGAAACATTTCTTTTTAAGTAAATACAGTGTTATGGCTCAAAAATTCAGGAGGCACAAGGAACTAGGTAGTTAAAAGAATCCCTTATGTCCCTGTATCCCACCAACCCAGTTTTCCTCAGAGACAATCAACATTACTAGTTTCTTATGTATTCTTCCAGAGAAATTTAACAAAAATACAATAAAACATGTATTTCTCCTCTCATCTAAAATGTCTGCAAAGGATGAACAGAGATGGACTAACAGGACTTAATAACTAATGCTGATGTTCAAGTTTCTGGTGTGGAAAACAGTGCCGTTCAATGGGACAGGGAACCACATAGGTACAGGTTCAGGTATGTTGGGGGAAATGAGTTCCCTTGTGGACAGAATAAGTTGAGAAGTAAGTGCATTAGAATTGGAAGAAACAAATCCAATCTCTTTAATTTCAGATCAAGAAAGTGAAGGTTGAGGGTGTGGTATTGCAATAGAGCGTCTGTCTAGCAAGCATAAGGCTCTGAGTTCAAACCTCAGTACCACTAAAAAAAGTGAAAACACTGGATATCTGGCTGAAAGTTAGAGCTGGTTTAGGGTGAGCTCAGGGCTAGGTGCAAGTGGTTCACACCTACTGTATCCTAGCTACGTGGGAGGCAGAGCTCAGGAGGATCGTGATTTGAGGTAGTCTGGGCAAATAGTTTGAGAGACCCTCTCTTGAAAATACCCAACATAAAAAAGGGCTGGTGGAGTGGCTCAAGTGGTAGAGTGCCTGCCTAGCAAGCATGAGGCCCTGGTTCAAACCCCAGTACCACCAAAAAAACCGCAAACAAGCTAAGATTAAAACCTAATTCCTAATATTCACACAGTCCGTGAACATAAGAGTGATCACTGAAGTTGTAAATAAGACTTATGAATAAGGCTGAAGGACTGCCCTGAGAGAATGTCTACAAACAAACGAGTGAAAAAAGGAGGTTGCTAAGGAGAAATAAATGGTTGATAAGGCAAAGAACCAAAGTATCTCGACATTACAGATACCTAGGAAGATTAAATTTAAGGCATCTGGAAGAAAAATGGCTAGAACAATCCATTGCAAATGACATGTCATAACATCAATGTTGAACAGACATAAGGAACTAGAAAGGAAGAATATTCCTTACATGAAAGATGAGGAAGCTATAAGAAAAGATGAAAGAGAAAGAAAAATTCTACTAGAGGTTTCTGATGTTCCAATGAACTATTTCAAATAAAAGTAGAAGAAAACAAATTTGCCTGATTGAAAGAAAAAATCATTAACAGGGAACTCAAAATTGCTACAAGTAACAGGTCGACACAGATACTGAAGTCAACATTTTTAGCAAACTGGTGAAACAAAATGTCAGTTCTCCCTAATAACATGGACTTAAATACTGTAATTAGAAATATGCTCATGGAATTAAAGGTAGTTTTTGAGTGGAAAAAAAATTATGTTATCACTTATTCTTACCTGTGTCTGAATATCATCTCCTGTGACAATGTTTCCCACGGCTCGCAAAGCAGGAGAAACTACTTTATAGTCATTATGCCTGCAACCATAAAAAGAAATGTTATAGCCAACAGTTTTATCTGTAGTCCCCGTTTTTAAGTACTGAAATCCAAAGGAAGTAATTTGAGATAAGATTTTAGAGCAGAAAGGAACCTATGATGGTTATTAGGGGACCCTACATGAAGACAGAATGGTGTGCTCTAAAAAAGCTGTCTTTCCCCTTTACTTAGTATTTTGGAAAAAAAAAACACAAATCATTCCTATTAATCTTTCCAGAAATTTCAGTAACTGGAGTCCAAGTTTTTCCTTCAATTCCTTAATACAGACTTGTATGGTTACAGAGATAGGGAGAGCAACAATAGGTTAACATTTATACAAATTATAAATTTTGCAAATTACCTAATTTTCACAGATGTGAAACTTCTGTTAACAGTTGAACTAATTTGAAAATGAAAGTGAGAATTCATACCTTACACACTGAACCCTTTCTACAGAGCCTACAAAGCTGCCCTTCATAAAGCCCTTTTAATATATTTGAAGGCAGACTTTACTCTGATTTCAGGGTAAATAAGTCGATATCCTTTAACTTTCCTTAAAGGTCCTATTTTCTCTCCCCCTTTTAATGAGACTGATCATACTTCATACAACTGTGCCTTCAATTTTATTTTAAGATTTGATGAGGAAAATGAAACAATTAAAATATATAATAATCTAGACATTAAAGAATACAAACCATTAGGTCCCACATTTTGAATGATTCTGACTCCAGAAGCATCATGTTAGCTTTAATGCACAACAGCACTATACTGCTGATCTGCAATCAGTCTGTAGACTGTTAAAATCTCAGAGTTTTGTGTTTTGTACATTATACTTATATAATCCATTTCCACATGTCACATTTGGTACGATGTCTCTTTACATCTACTTTGTTCTTCAATTAAATTTCATGTTGCTTGTAATTGTATCACTTACCCATTACCTTATTAACTCTATTTTTCCTAAATATTATCTAAAAATGTGACTAACAGTCTCAAATTATTTATGCCTTGAGTAATCTTTCACTCCATCACCAAAGGAATTACAAAGAGCAAAACAAGATTCAATATCTAACAACAGTTTAGATTAAGATTTAAAAGAGACAGATAAGGAATGACTACTTTTAGTGGCAATGTGCCTTTTGATTTCCACTGGTTGATCTTACCATAGATTAAAGCTTTCCAAGGATTTCTGCTGAAGGACTGCTAGTAGCAGAGAAGAGGTTCTTTATAACTCTCAAAACACCAAACCCGCCAAAATGACATCAATATAAACAAGTAAACAAAAGACATAGCCTAAACCATGATAAATCAGTAAAATGCATAATCAACTAATACTTAAATATAAGCAGAAGGAAACTACTGTAAGAGAGGAAAGCAGACACACTTTAAAAAATATATCTTACATCAGCAGCTCCACAAGTCTCCTACAAACTCCTGCGTCAATGACTGCTTGAATTTTATCATTGGGTCCATCTGATAGATATGAGAGGGCCCAGCATGCATCAGCCAGTACATCAGTGTCACTTACAAAGAGCAACCAGGAAAGGACATTCAGACAAGGGGAAACCTATAAAAGGAAGATAATATGACTAAGAATTCAACAGAATAAAAAAGAGAAGTGAGGTGAATACTCAAGAAGGCTACCGACAGGTACTTAATGACTTCTGGGATGATTTATTCTTCTAGACATAGACTAGCAAGTGAATGAATGGCATTTCTGTCTTTGGAAATGCTGTCAGTGTCTTGAAGTAGTTTACCTTACAGAGGTAGTCAGAACCCGAGGAACATAAAGTTCAGGAAGCAAGGTTTTATATACACCAATTCTTAGAATGAGCTTCATCAAAAAACACAGTCTTTGTAGATCAAAAAGGTAAAGGAATTTTTACATATGCCATAGCTAGGAAATTTTGTATTTTAGATACTTTGTTATGAATCAAACATGCTAAGATTTTAAAGTGAATTTGGAGTGTCATACAGGAAGTAAGGAATGATTCCAAATTCAAAATAATTACGAAAAAGCTGTTTCTCTACAAAGCAATAAAATTCTAACATTCTAAATTTCATCAAAAGTTATCTTTCTCTAAACATTAACATTGGCTTCTATATTCTGTAAACAGCATGTTTTCTGCCAATTTCCCACAAGCATAGTGCTTACCTTTGCAAATTCTGGAGGTGGACTTTTCCCTCTACAGAGATTAGACAAAGCCCATACTGCATTCCGGGTCATGGTCAGGCGGTTTTGCTTTGAAAATAACCTACAAGTATTATGATCCAACAGTAAGTTATATAACCGACATTAATTCTCTCACCGCATAAGATAAATAGTTAATTAATGCTATGGAAAAAAACATGTCTTCAAATAGAGTTTTTTTCAGAGCAATAAAATTTCACTAATTGTAATGCAACTAATTCAGAATTCTGGCACCAGAGTAACTGCCTAATGAAATGATCTAAGAAGTTAACAACAAGATTTCCGGAATCAAAATAACATTAGGAAATCCAAAATGATATCCAAAGATAATTCTTTTTGAGTAAGTTCCCATGTTTTTATTACTCAAGGAAATCAAAAAGATGAAATGAAAAAAACTTACTGTAAAAGAGGTGGAAGGATATTGCAGTCTAAGACATAATCCCTGCACATGGTGCTATCTCCGGCAATGTTGCCAAGAGCCCAGACTGCCTGTGAAAGAATTATTCATCAATGACAATCACATAATTCACTCATAAATCTTTCAAGTTAGAGGCCAGCACATCATAGAAACACTTTCTAAACTTCACTCATTGGGGGTCAAGTCAAACAGTTATGGGAGAAGTTAAACAGATTGGGAGAAGTTAATATTCTAACATGTATAGTGAAAAAGAAAAATGATTTTATTTATTAAATAAATCAATTCTCTATTTTTACAGGACTTGATTCTCATTCCTAAGGAACATTTCATGTAGTCCGTGGTATGGAGCAGAGATTCAAATGGTTTACTTAGCTGATTAAATTTGTACTTAAGCTTGCTTGCAAAAGAAAACAAAAATAAACTGAAGAGCAATCAAAATGCAGGTTACTTCTGGAAGTGATGAATGTATCCTGATTGCAATGATGGTTCCATGGGGATATATATGTCATATTAGATACTTTTATATATATATGCAGTTTATGTCAGTTATACCTCAATAAACTATATCGAGCTTAAAGAATTCCAGGGCTGATCATCAGCAACACCACCAACAACAGGTATTGGTGAGGATGCGGGGAAAAAGGAACCCTCTTACACTGTTGGTGGGAATGTAGACTAGTACAACCACTCTGGAAAAAAATTTGGAGGCTACTTAAAAAGCTAGACATTGATCTACCATTTGAGTAGATTGAGTAGAGTGTAATACCACTCTTGGGGATATACCCAAAAGACTGTTGCTCCAGAGGCACCTGCACATCCATGTTTATTGCGGCACTATTCACAATAGCCAAGTTATGGAAACAGCCAAGATGCCCCACCACTGATGAATGGATTAAGAAAATGTGGTATCTATACACAATGGAATTTTATGCAGCCATGAAGAAGAACGAAATGTTTTCATTCGCTGGTAAATGGATGGAATTGGAAAACATCATTCTGAGTGAGGTTAGCCTGGCCCAAAAGACCAAAAATCGTATGTTCTCCCTCATATGTGGACATTAGATCAAGGGCAAACACAACAAGGGGATTGGACTATGAGCACATGATAAAAGCGAGAGCACACAAGGGAGGGGTGAGGATAGGTAAGACACCTAAAAAATTAGCTAGCATTTGTTGCCCTTAACGCAGAGAAACTAAAGCAGATACCTTAAAAGCAACTGAGGCCAATAGGAAAAGGGGAACAGGCACTAGAGAAAAGGTTAGATCAAAAAGAATTAACCTAGAAGGTAATACCCACGCACAGGAAATCAATGTGAGTCAATGCCCTGTATAACTATCCTTATCTCAACCAGCAAAAACCCTTGTTCCTTCCTGTTATTGCTTATACTCTCTCTACAACAAAATTAGAAATAAGGGCAAAATAGTTTCTGCTGGGTATTGAGGGGGTGGGGGGGAGAGGGAGGGAGCGGAGTGGGTGGTAAGGGAGGGTGTGGGGGCAGGGGGGAGAAATGACCCAAGCCTTGTATGCACATATGAATAATAAAAGAAAAAGAAAAAAAAAAATAAGTAAGTTTAAAAAAAAAAAGAATTCCAGGGCTGGAAGGGAAAATTAGTTTCATGTTACTAGAAGAAATTGTGCCTTTAGTCACTAAAAATTTTTCTATTTTGGTTAAGTTTAGATTTCTAGAACACTTCCAAGAACAAACTGGATTATCACAGTCAAGTAACCAAACTCAGGGAAAATTTTTATTCTTTCATATTCTTCTCTTTTTACCTGTTCTTGGACATCTTCAAACTCTGAACTGAGTAACTCTATGAAGATGGGCACTGCTCCTGCCTGAATCACAATCCGGGTCTGAAGAGAATTTCCTGAAGCAATGTTTGTCAGTACCCAAGCTGATTCAAACTATAAAGATAAAAATTAATTTTCATTATATTAGAATTTAAAAGGTTGTTTACTTATAATAATAAAGTTTTCTGAACATAAAGAAGAGTCTGAGATCACTGTTTGCATGTCACCTATCAGCTAAATACCATATTAATTTTAAAATAATTTCTTGAAGAAATACCTCAGCCTACAAGAATATTCAAAACATCAATTTCAGATCAAGGTAATTAACATAAGATCATCAAATAAAAAGTCAGTAAGTGCTTCATAAGATGATATGGAATGATCTCTTAAGATTTAAATGAAAGAAACAAAAAACAAAATGCAAAGCAGTGCACATTAATATGGTATTATGCTATACTGCCTAAAAAGATTGAAAAGGAATATATGTATTAATGAATGTATTGCACAGATTATTTCTTGATGGAAACATAAATACTATAATCTACAGAGAGGCCTGGATGACTGGGGAATAAGGATAGGAAAAGCAGTTTTCACTGGAAAGTCTATATTCCTTTGGGCCTTACACCATTATGTGTATGATCTAATAAAAAAAAATTTCTAAAGGATTGGCAAAGCAAAATAAAAGATGTTAGTGTAAATTTTATAAAATACAGTCCAGTGAAAAAGGCAAAAAAGGTACTATGCTAAGTAACTTATAAGGAGCTAATAGGCATAAAATAGAAATGACAGCTTCAGTGCATAAGACCTTCCAATAAATGAGACAGCTTCAAACCAAGGTAGAGACAAGTTTTATTTTTATTTTCTTCAAATAAAAGGAGGAAAAATGTATTTTGGCTCAAGATTTCTGCCCATGATTGGCTTGCTTCACTGCTTTGGACCTGAGGCAAGGCATACCATCAAGGTGGGAGGAATGTGTAGCAGGGGCTGCTCATTCCTTTTTTCTTTTTTTTTTGATAGGACTAGGGTTTGAACTCAGCCCTTCGCACTTGTAAAGCAAAGCAGGTGCTCTACTGCTTGAGCCACATCTCCAGTCCATTTTTCTCTGGTTATTTTGGAGATGGGGTCTTGTGAACTATTTGCCCAGGCTGGCTTCGAAACTTGATCCTCCCAATCTCAGCCTCCCAGGATTACAGGCATGAGCCACTGGTGCCTGGCTAAAAGAACATTCCTAAGTAGAAAAAAGAAGGTAAACTGAGTAAAGGTTGATCTAGTATTATGCCACTTGTCAACAGAAGGTATGAAGGAAATTATGCACACTCCCCCGGCAAACCAGCATATTACTAATTCTATGTATCTCTAACAATAACTTGACTTTTTTGCTTGGTATTGAAAAATCCAAGAAGGAAAGCCTATATTTCTATTTAGTTAAGAGCTCTTACTAAATTTTAGGTTAATTCTGTCCCTCATCTGTCTTCTACTTATTCTTTAATTAAAGCACATACACAGGCAGAAAATTTCACATTTTCTTTCAATGGTATGTTCTTTGAATGACAGAATAATAAGAAATCATCAAAAGATTTGTTACTTGTGACTTTTTCTAAGCTTTGGAATCAATTTAAAAAGTAGTTGTCACAAGGAAAACTAAGTCATCAATCTTTGGGTGGCAGATGAAGATGGAAGGAATGGGTAGACAGTTCTATCAGCACAGTCAAAAGCTGTAAGAATGATAACAAATTCATACTAGAAGGCACTTAAGCAAGGAGAAGTTTCAAAGAAACTAAAAAAGTGACAAACAAGTATGATAAAGTAGCCCTGACAATCTAGACATTGATTACTAATGAAAGCAATACTCAATACTTGCTGTCTCAGGCAAGAAATTGTGAGTGGTGATATGCCATATTTTAATGCTTTTAAAATCCCTAGAGTTACCTAACCTGTGTTTCTTTTGCTCACTAGGAAAATTAGTTATAAAACCAGACTAACAGCGCCTTTCTGCTCCTGCATGTCAGGAGGTGCTCCTCTCTCCCTTTCTATTTCTCCCTGCTTTACTAAATAGACCTATGCTAATCTTAAAAAGCATACTGTCCTATGAGAAGGCAAGCTCAAAAATCAATAAATTAGCAGTCAGCAGATACAATAGATAAAAGCAATGAAAGTCTCAAGAAAAATGATCTGGAAAGAATTGTGTGGTGCTTGGGTTTCGAACTCAGGGCCTCAGGCTTGCTAGTCAGGAATTCTACCACTTACAGCCCCAGTCCTTTTTTGCTTTAGCTATTTTAGGATAGTGCCACAAGCTTTTCTCCAGGGCTGCCCTTTAACTCCAATCCTCATACCTATGCCTGCCACATAGCTGGGATTACAGGTATGAGTCATCACACCTGGCTTACTTATTGAGACAGGATCTTGCTTGCTTTCTGCTGAGCAGCCCTTGAACTGCAATCCTCCTGATTTCTGTTTCCCAAACAGCTACAGGTAAAAGCCACTGAGCCCTGTTGTAGTGAGGTTTCCATGCAAAAGAAATAATAACCTGAATAAATAAAGGATGTATTAAAGAGCTACTAGTGAAAAAAATTGCTTCAAATGCTAATCCCTTCCAGAGTTCAAACTACTGTCTGAAGATCTCAAAAAAAAAAAAAAAAAAAAAAAAAGATGGGAAATTCTAGAAGCTACATAAGTAAATTAAATAGAAAAACAAAACAGAGTGACAATGATTAGGAAAATGAAAAGTAACAGACTGAACTTGGACAGTATAAGATTAGAAACTAAAATGTGCATGACGGTGTGCACCTGTAATTCCAGCACTTGAGAGGCTGAGGCAGGAGGATTATGAATTTGAGGCCAGTCTGGGCTACACAGCAAGATCTTATCTTAAATAAAAAACTAGTACATCATATCAAAAAAAATATAATGAACCAGTTAGTTATGTTTGTTGTTAAGTAGTACATAATGATGATAACCTCAGAATACAAAGAAGACTTAAGAATGGAAATGAAAAGGTAGCTCAGCTATTATGAGGGACAGAAGTAGATAAAGAACTATAACCTGAGGGTCACTTAAGACATAACCACATCCATGAATTCATGGGGCATAAAAACCCAGTTACTATGGTGTTTTCCCGTTATGAAAATTCATCAAGCTATATTTGTGAAATTTATACCCATGTGTGTGTATGATCATCTGTGTATGAGAGGAGAAAGAAGTGAGACAGACAATTTCCCTGATGATACAGGTCTGTTAATTCTGGAAGAAGCAATTATCAAATGTGTTTAACAAGTAAGTCGATTCCTTAAAAACCTGGATTTGAACTACATATCATCCCTTTCATCAAATCTATCTGTACTTCAAGTTTTATTTTACTAGTTCTTCTTTAAAGTTGCCTTTGGGAATTAGATTAGAATTTAACCTGAAAGAGAGCAATGACATGGGAAAGCCCAGAAGTAACAGTGAACAGAAATACATAAAGTTATAGTAGCAACAGTCAAAAAAATTAATATAAGTAATCATATGACTCAAGAGGAAATCAATAACCTGAAAAAAAGGGGAAGAAAATTCTAACAAATGCTATCACCTGAACAAATGGTGGCCAAAGTAACTATAACTTTCATTTCTGTCTCTGGTATTTTAAACTATTATGTCCAAGAATGGCACTATACAAGGAAACAACCTATTTGTAGCTATAAGTGCTTATAAATTATCATTCCACTATTATTTTTCACTGTCCAAAACTTGCTAAATAAGGCTACAATTAAAATCCGTATACTTAAGATTTGATGTTTTCTCTCTCCCCTTTCTCAGTCTCTACCTTCTGGTGCTCAGTTCCTTAAATAAGGGAAATAAGAATCCAAAGCTGAAGTACTTCTGACCTCCTATCAAGTTTCCCACTCCAGGTTGAGGTACGCCTGGGTTCCCTTTCTCCATTTGGATCAGGACTCTGTTGCTGGCCACTTTGCCGGTTCCACTCTGGTTCCTAGCAAATGCCAGGCTCACCTGGAGAGCAAGTGAAAAGAAAGGCTCACATCAGAAAAATAAACCCAGAGGTCAAACTCTGCAGAGAACAGTGCCTGAGTCATCTGAGCAACCTTCAAAAAAAGGCAGAGAGATCAATGAAGACAGGAAAAGGCATAGTAGGATGAAGGCTTACTGCAGTTTATCACATTAAGCTTTTAGAGGGGACAAGAAGGCAGGAAAGGGGAAACTAAGCCAACTTAATTAAAATTTATAACCTTTAGAGGAGTACCTATCTAATGTTTAGAAGCAGAAAGCAATTTGCATATCAAGATATTTTTATAAGATTCTATTACAAATATTCTGAGAATGCAACATCTTAGCACTGCAAAAAAACAGCATAAAGATGCTGGGCCTGGACTCACAGAACCAAAGTGGGTCCGTGATCATACCATAAAGCAGACCAGTCTCATGCCAAAGGCTGTCAAGTATGTCTGACCTAGATGTAACTGAGCTTGAGAAATGCTCTTAGCTAAAGGCATTGCTTGCTTCCAGAATCCTAGATTCCACCCCTACTCACTTCCAGAGTTTAAAGGAAAGTGAGTACCTGGGTAGCAGTATAAAAAATGCAGACATTTTTAGTCCCCTTATTTAAAGAGTACCTCACTGATGGAGGAAGTCACAATGGGAATGAAGAGATCCTTCACTAGAATTCATTTCCTTAGCTATAGAATGAAGAAATTAAGTTTGTCCATGGAACTTATTAGTGGATTGAACCATCAAATTTCCTCTTAGTACCATACAGTATTGATTCTCTTTCTGGAAGCAAAAGCCCTATTCCAAAGATGCACTATCTCTAGGAAGCAGACAGGAACTTCAGAGCTAGCTTACATTTTAGTGTTCTCCAAGAAGACAAAGGAAAGAGTACCCTCCAAACTTTCTAGAGTGGGTCTAATTATTTAAAGACATAAACAGAATATGAAGTTGCCTGGCTTTAAAATGTCCCTAAGTATTCTTGATCCTCCTGCTTCAGCGGTAGTCAAGGTTAACCATTACTCACACTGGAGAGAGAATGCCATGTTGTGCTTTAAATGTGCACAGAAGGAAAGATAGAGATGATAACCCTTTAATAATAAATAGGTTTGTTGTTTCTTGGTCTTAGAATAACTAAGGTGAAAACCATCAGGTGGTCACTTCCACAGAAATCATTTTTTAATCTTTTAGCTTATTAGTTTGCTCAAGGATGGAATGGAGAAACTTAGATATAAGTAACTTAGATTATTTCTGAATGTTTTCATCTTTAGATGTGTTAAAATGTAAGTCCTAGGATTAGAAAGCACTGATTCAAAAAATGATGTAGAATTTACATATATTAGCCAGGAGCGGGCATTGTCTGAGAACATACTGTACTCAAAGAGTATAGGGGAGTGTAAAGATAGGTAAAGAATCATTTCTCTGACTTTTTTCATTTTAACCTATGAAGAAGTAAATCTCTGCAACCACCTACTATAAACTGCTAGATCAAGTATAAATTAAGTATTTCTCAACTATGCTCATTCTCAAAGATAGGACAGAAACATTTTTTAGCATGAACAAAATGGTAATTTTCCCTACCTCCCTTTTCCTATAAAGCAATTCAAATGATAAACTGCAGTAAGGCTCCACATTTGGTCCCTCTGGTTCTCTTGACAGGTTGTTTAGGGGCTCAGGCTGTTCTCTGCAGTGTTGGTTGTCTGGATTTCCTTTTTTGTTGAGAAAAGTCTCTCTTGCCTTGCTCTCAGGATGAATGTAATTTTTCAGGGATCTGGTGATTCTGGCCTTAGATGGGGACCAGAATTATAATCCAGGAAGCCGCTAGCAAAACAGAATCTTAATTCAAATAAACACAGGGATGGGAAAATGTCAAACTGGAGAAGAAAATCTGATGGGACAGCAAAGTACTCTACCTTTTCTGGATTTCCTGTTTTTCCTCTGGAAGGAACTTAACCACACAAGAAAGATGTAAAAGAAAGAGAAAGATGGGGAAGGAGGAAATGAGAGAAAATATCAAGACAAAGCAAAAGACTTATGGAATAACCTACAACGGTCTGGCCAGTTAGGAGCATAGTAACACCACTTACAAAAATACCTCAGTCTCTACATGGCACCAGTCTTAGAGTAAGGCAAAAGCACACAAAGGAGATAGGAGTTATCATCATGATTAACTTCCTTTTGTTTTAAATGACTAACTTCTTATTGGCATATTATTTCCTTGGAAAAAGAATACCATCTTGTGGTCTACTTGGAACAAATTTTATAAATGAATATCTTTAAAGCGTCTGAGCCATTCAGATTATATATTAGGTTGAGAATTTATAGAATTCACAGGCATTTGTTAGTAATATAGATAATAATTCAGTCTAGCTACTGAGCAATACCAAGTTTACCAAAAAACCAACTTCACTGAGGAAAACAAGAAGAGGAAAAAATTCTAGACAATTCCAAGGAAGAGAATCAGTTGGTAATTGTTTTCTTTCACTAAGAAAATTATCTAATTCAGGGTATGTGAATTTCCTTTTGGAGTCTCTGTATTATACAAAATTGAAAGATCAAACTGACAGTAGGAAGCACATAGATTCTTGACAAAGCTATCTCTCCTTGTCAGCTTTCGGGGAAGAAGGAGGATTGATCATTAGAGTTCTGATCAAGCCTACGTCATACAACGCTGAGAAAAATCAACAAGTATAATCTACAATTCCCTCAAAAGCAAATTTTATGTAGCCCATACAACAGTAATCTATACATTGGTTCCTATTTATAATGGCTCCTCTACCGCAATACTTCCTTATTAAGATATTACCTACAATCATCATAAAACATTTTGAATAAAGACACAAATTCTAAAGAGTATAACCAGTGCCTATATGTCAATAAAGCTGTAAAAGCAGTTTGCAGTGTAGTTGTCAGGAATATCATTATAAACAAAGAATCCTTTAATAGATTAGGATTAGTAAAAAAATTCATATATAAAAGTTTTTAAAGAGATCTAAGTAGTGAGGCAAGAAATGAAATTGTCCGCACCTGCAGTGTACAATTCTCTTTTCGTTTGAGGAACTCCACAAACCTGGCCACTACTCCTGGTGTACTGATAACTTCATCAATAGGAGGATTAGGCTCTGTTTCCACATAAAATTAAAGGAAAAAAGAACAACAGTCCTTTGATTTCAATGCAAATACTTTAAAATAGCTCAAAATCATTTCATAATACTCCCTTCCCCATTATTTACCAGGTCTTTCATGTTAGAAATCAACAGGAAGGAAGGGAAGGGAAGGGAGGGGAGGAGAGGAGAGAAAGGAAAGGAAAGGAAGATGGGTAGGTAGGTAAATAGAAAAAAATTAACTTAAAATTTGAATTTGGTCACTTTGAGACTAAGGCAGTTTGAAAGGCTTCACAAAAAGACACACTTTAATATGAAAATGAAGAATGGGCAGAATTCTGTATTTTGTTTCTGCTGTAACTATCTTTTTGTGATGTGATGGGCAAACACTCTACCACTGAGCTATACCCCTGTTTCCCTAAGAATTTTTAAAAATTAAAATTACTGCCACTCCTATTTTAAGAAACTCAGAAAACGGGGGAAAAAATACCCAAAGACAACAACTATTAGTATTTTGATACACTTTCTTCTGGCTCTTTTCTGTAATGTGCTTTCAGTCAATATGGTTTTGTTTAATACACATTGTCTTGAGAAACTGCATTACAGTATTTGTAGTGTGATTACTGGGTTTAATTTAACACCTATAGTGATAAGTAGGTACTGGCAAGAATTCACTAAGATTTACTTGCCATATTAATCTCATTTTCATTTATGACAAAAAGTATCTTATAAATGAAGTTATTCAATAAATACTTAATTGGGTGAACAGATAGGAAATGTCAAATAATCAGATTAGTAATTCCAGCAGAGATTGGACAAACTTTAACAACATGCATGTGGCAATGCCAAAAAAATGCAGTTGGATCACAGTCCTATTTGGTGAGATTTTTAGCCAAATCAATGGCCTTATTGAGAAAGGTGACTAATAGTTCAATATTGACTTGGGGGGAGAGGACTCTAATGATAGGTCTTTTGCCTGGTTCAACATTTTTATCAAGCACTCAAATAGAAAACAAACTCAATAACAATAATGATAAACTAGTTAATGTGCTAAGTTAAAGAAATCACATAATGAAGGAATAAAATATGTGAAAATCTGAAATAAAACTTCATCAACTGATTTTTTTTGTTATCGTTGGTTGTTCTATTTTGCAGTTGTAGGGGTTGAATCCAGGCCCTATGCATGCTAGGTAAGTACTCTATCACAAAGCTATACCCCCAGCTCTAGCAGCTGAGTTTGTTTGCACTTTGAGATGGAGGTTTGGCCTTGAAACTCCTAAGCTCAAACAATCCTCCTGCTTCAACCTCCTGACTAGCTGGGACTATGAACATGCATGCACCAATGCACAAAGTTTTTAACAAATTAATTTCTTTAAAGGCAATTTTTAAAAATTCACATGACCTCGTGCACAAAATCTAACTATAGCTCATAAAGAACAGCACTAGGGGATTTGTTGCTGAAAATTCAAATAGGCAGTGACTACTAAAACAACCAGTGCTCTCTTAGATTAAATATCGGAATGGATAATCTTAGGATAAGGAAAATAATCTCTCATCACATCCTACAATGATAAGAACACATTTGAAGTACTGTATTCTAGTTATCACTTTTATGGGAGTATGGGGGGGAGGAATGAGGCTAAGGCAGGGTCTATGAAGCCCAGGCTGGCCTTGAACTTTCAATTCTCCTGCCCCAGCCTCTTGAGTGCACTACTATACAGGCTTACTTATCACTTTTTCTTTTCTTTTTGTTTTTGCTGTTTTTTTTAAAAAGATGCTGGCAAATCAGAATGCATGCAGGGAAATAGCAGAGTGGTAAAAGGCCAAAGCCATATTATATGAGAAAACCACTAGGTTCAGCATCTTTAAGAGATAACACTAGTTAGAGGAGTGAGAAAGTATACCATCTCTTCAAATATTTAGTAAGTTATCATGGAAAGGTAATTTTTTGTGTGTATTATGGTGGTAGGTCTTTTTAAAAATTTTTATTAGTATATGATAGTTATACAGGGGGATTTACTGTGATTTTCATATATACATATGCTATATCCCAGTCTAGTTCATCCCCTTCATGGTAGGTCTTTATTCCAGTTACCTTCAAGGAATATATTAGCATTTTTAATCACTAGTGATTCTAAACAACCATAACTTGCGTTGACAGCAATTACCATGCTCCACTCTATACTAATAATACCAAAGAGGGGTGTTACCTTATCCACCAATAAATCCACACTTAACTTTCAGTAGTAAACTACTAACATTAAAATCAGTAATTATTTCTCTTTCAAGTAATATTTTTGATGCTTTACTACAAAAAGTGGAGTTTCTTTATTGAATTAAGATGTTGATTTATTCACTTTAGGATCTGTTATAAGATAGTCTGATAATGAAAGTAATGTTCTCATCTGGTCCTGGTAAGATCCCATAAATAAAGAAATGAAAAGACATTGCTCACAGTAATACATGTCTATAGGTCTATTTTTTGTACACCTTTTTCTTTATTGATAAGACACATTCAAAATTAAATTATCTGTAGTATGAAAAGATTACAGGAAAGGAATATTTTATAGAAAGATGAAGACGATAGAATATATTCAAAGCTCACCTTTTGAAAGCAATTTTCTGAATTTCTGTGTTGCAGAAAGCTGTTGCTCTGGGCTATTAGAAAATATCATTTCAATCATGTCAGAAGTAATAACACCACCCTGGATCACAAAGAAAATGCAAATGTAACACAATGTTAGCCTTAAGTCTGAGGAAAGCAAGGATAATAAAATTATGGTTAAGTCACCAAGTTAATCATGCTTCTCCAAAAGTTATGCAAAAATACAACAATCTTTACACGTAAAAATGTAAGGTGACTGGTTACTAACGTAATGAAGCCAAGTTCTTTATTATTATTATAAAGCTCACAACAGTGGAAGATTTTTGAGTGGTAAATACTAAGACAAGAAACTTATCCTTTCTCTCTTTCATTTTATGGTTGGTATTGAAACCAAATGTTAAATTCTACAAGAAGATTTTAAGTTTAAGTCTTAAACTTAGTCAAAATCCTTATTGTCTTGCTTTATTAATATTTTTCAGTTTCCCACTATTTTCTTGTTTGGCTGGAACTTTTTCCATTTGCTACTACACTCCATACCCAGTATCAGTGCATAATTCTCCTTGGGATCATTTGTCAAGATGAAACAAAATTCTTACTTTAAGAAGGATTACAGCCAATAAGATGAATTATAAGAAAGTTACAATGAGTCATAAATGGTGGATGGTTGGTAAGCAACATCAAACACTAAAGAATTCCGATGGGGCTGGACATGGTGGCTCATGCCTGCAATCCCAACATCAGCAAGGTTGTGGCAAGAAGCTCAATGTTTTAAGGTCAGCCTGAGTGACATAAATTCAAAACCAGCCTGGGCTCCAGACCCATCTCAAAAAAAAAAAGAACTCCCATAGGGGAATGCATGAAGCAATGCACACTCAAGTCAGAAAAGTAACTTTTTTAAAGTTGTAAGAATGACTCCTGAAAAAACATAAGTACCTAAGTACTTTTGTCTTCATACACAAACAGATCAGCTGCACATCTGCGTGTATGCATGTGTATATACATATATATAATTTTTTTTCTTCCCTCACATATCCTCGTATCATGTAAGTTGTACTGATCCATATCACAGTATTTAAGTTACAGGGCATCAAGAAGAGGAGCAAACATTACCCAAAGATTTTACATCCTTTGCTGGTGAAAGGGCTGGGACATTTTCAGCTATATGCAAGAAAGTTGTATCATCTTACATGAAGGCACAACTTTGTTGTCATTGTTGAAACTCAGTACAATGCATATGATAAATATGGATGCCAAAGTGACAAGAAGCAGACTGTGATGGTTAATTTTGTGTCAAGTTGACCAGGTTATGGTAGCAAGTTATCTAGTCAAACACTAGACTAAGTGTTACTATGAAAATATTTTTTAGATGTGATTAACATTTAAATCAGTACAGTTGAGTTAAACACATTGCTCCTCATAATGCTGAGATGGCCTTATCTAATTAGTTGAAGAACTTGTGAGCCAAGACAGGTTTCATCAACTCTTACCTAAATTTCCAGTTTGCCTGCTTGGCCTATATTCTGAATACTTGCCAGCTCCCCAAAAATGTATTCATTTAATACCCACTTTTTTTTTCTTCTTCTTCTTCTTTGGCAGTACTAGGGATTGAACTCAGGGCCCTGCATTTGCTAGACAGGCACTCTACCACTACCAGCCCTTTTTGTGTTGGTTATTTTTGAGATAAGGTCTTGCTTTTATGTCAAGGTTGGCCTGGAGTGCAATCCTCTGATTTTTGTTTCCCTTCAGGGCTGGAAATAACACATGTGCTCAGCAACTGGTTAAGATGGGGGTCTCGCCAACTTTTTGCCTGGGCTGGCCTTGAACTGTGTGATCCTCCCGATCTCTGACTCCCAAGTCACTAGGATAACAGGCTTGAGCTAATATCCATTTAAAAAAATACCAACTTAATACCCATTAAAAATAATAATTTGTTAAGATTAACTTTTTAAAGGTCCTACAAGAATGGCTATATCTACATCAATTCCAAAGGGAATTACACTGCCCTCTCAACAAAAGAAAAGTGATTCATATAAATTGGAGATATATGAAGTAAAATACAGAAAAAAGATATTGTGCATATCCTACCATTTGCACAGGAAAAAAAGGAAGGGAGGAAAGCACTTATTTTCTTTCACACAAAAGCTCTCAAAAAGAATAAAAAACAAACAAGAATTGAGTTGCCACTGAGGGGAAGGGGATATTGGATTACTAAGGAAAAAGATATTTTTCTTTTTCAAAATAATAAATACAAATTGATAGAAAAAAAAAAAAAAGAGCTGGGTATGGTGGGACACATGTATAATCCCAGCACTCAGAAGGCTGACAAGGACCATGAGTTTTGAGGCCAACCTAGCTACATGGTGAGACCTTATCTCAAAAAAAAGAAAAAAAAAAAAAAAGAGAGAGGTGGTAGAGAGTGACTTTCATATATGCATATAATGTACTTTGTATGATCTATTTAAAAATTACATAAGTAAACACAATACAATTTAAGTTTGTGGGAATGATTTTACCTTTATTATTTGTTGAATTGAAATGACTCATAATTATACAAATTTATGGGGCACAATGATGTGTTTTGACATATTTTATTTATTAATTCTTTGGGGACCAAGTCAGGGTGTTACTATGTAGCCCAAATTGTCCCAAACTCCTGCCCATCCTCACAGGTATGCACAATGTCTGGCTCTTTATAAGTTTTATAGCTAAATTAATCTTCATAACTTAGTTAATTTGTTTAACTTCACATTAACCAAAACACAATAAGCATTTAATAAACCAACAACATAAAATATGTAACTTCTTTGTGCAAAAATGGAATGCCAAAGTACCTTTTATAGCCATCTCCATTAATGTTTTAGTTAAACTCAAAAACAGATCTTCTATCTTCATCACAAATAACACCAAAATGAGTTCCTTTATTATCTTACTTACTGGTGCCATCTCCATGTTATTAATCTGGGCCTCATGAAAGCCACCATCTGACATAACTTCTTCTTCTGTTTCTTCTTCTGCTGTAGCAACATTTCTTCTCTTGAATAACTGAAAAGTAACAGCAATCTAATTTTAATAAGAGGAAGTTCAACATGTAAATACTAAACACTCAATCTAAAAGGTAACAGGGATAGAGCTCTTTGAAAATCATTTAAAAAATTCTAAATGCCTTCAGCTTTTCCTGATAAGGAATAATTTCATGCTTCTTCACAGTCATATAATCTAATATGATAGCTATAAAATATGCGTAACCAATACTTGGTGACATAAAAGTTGACAGGCCTAGCATTGCATGATATAAAAAAAATACAAGGTTGGAAAAAACAAACAAACAAATGTAAGGTTGGAAAAAGGATCTGAATATCACTGACCATTTGCCTCATCCTTTTATGTGAGATAGGCAACAGGATAGTCCTAACAATACATCAGAGAAAATGATGATAAAAATCATTATCAGAATGATTTAATACTTCAGTCTTAACCCATAAGGGTAGTGGACAGAAGCTTCTAACATTCCAGAAATCAGTGACAACAAAAGATGACTACCTGAACCCTTTAAAGCATCCATTAATTTGAGTAGGCAAAAGACAATAGTGCACTTCAAGTTAGCCTAATAAAGTATCTTCTATTAGATCTTTTAGAGCCCTGGTAGTACACTTATTCATCAAGCCATAAGAAGTAATAATAATCTGTCATAGTAATCCCATCATAAACACTAAAAAGCACACAGAATTTAAAAAATGGGTTCCAGCCTTTGCACAATATGCAGCATAAGCGAGTGACATTTCAAAAAACACAATCAGTCCCATTATTGTCTCAGACTACTGCCTAGACAGATTCCAGAGTATAGTACCTAGAGAATAAATGTAAACAGAGTTTAGAGAGGCTACCTGAACTGAGTGAACAGTTTAGAACTGAGGAGGCCAAGACTCACAGAATTCACAAGACAAGAGTATTGATGAGGACAAATAAACACAGAGAGAATTGCAAACATCTACAGAAGGTTCCCGTTCAGTCTTAATTTAGTACTTATCAGTGCACAATGATTTTCCAGAAAATAGAAGCAGAGGGAAGGTCAAAATAAAAAAGTTTGAAGAGATAAAGGAAGTATCAGAACTAGGCTAGGATATGGCAGGGATGCTGGAATTATCAGACCAAAAATTTTAAACTATGATTAACATACTAAGGGCTTAAACAGATAAAGAAGACAGCATGTGGGCTGGGGATGTGCCTCAAGTGGTAGAGTAGCTGCTAGCAAGGGTGAGGTCCTATGCTCCAACCCCAGTACTGTCAAAAACAAAAAAAAAAAAACAAAATTCACAGCACTTGGGAGGCAGAGGCAGGAAGATCTGGAGTTCAAGGCCATCGTGAACTATACAGCAAGATCCTGTTTAAACACACACAAACAAACAAACAAAAACACCAAGGAGTAGGCATGTTGGCACATGACTGAAATCCCAACTACTCACAAATCCAGGTGAGCCCCAGGAAAGTTAGTGAGACCCTATCTCAAAAAAAAAAAACAAAAAACAAAATCAAAAGGGATGGGACCATAGTACAAGTGGTAAAGTTCTTGCCCAGCAAGCATAAGGCCCTGAGTTCAATCCCCAGCACCTACCCACATCCCACCCCCCGCCAAAATGCAAAAGACTCCCAAATCCCAGCCTCCCAACTAAAAAGCCAGTAGGAAAAAAAGACAAAAATATGAAAGTAAATAAGTAACAGAATATCTAAGAACTGTGGGACAACTACAAAAGATACAGCACACATATAATAGAAGTATCAGAAGAAAAGAGAACAAAAATACTTTAAACAATAAATTTTCCCAAATTTAAAAAAATTCCTAAAGGAACCCAGAGGAAAAAGCCATCTTACCAAAACAGAAACAATGATAAAATTACACCCAACTTTTCTTTAGAAACTATGCAGGTCAGAAAAGTGAAATAAACAGCATTGACAACATTCTTTGTTTTGTTTTGCAGTTTGAACCATACTTAACACAGAACAAAACTAGAAGCTTTCTCGATAAAGTCAGGAGCAAGGCAAGGATGTCACTCACCACTCCTTTTCAACATTGTGCTACAAATCCTAACTAAAAGAGTAAAAATGGAAGGGAAAATAAAAGGAATACTGATTGGAAAGAAGTAATACTCTTAATTCAGACAACATGATTATGTAGAAAATCCAAAAGAATCAGCAACAACAAAAACCCTCCTAGAACTAATAAGCAATAATCGCAAAGTTGCATGGTACACAGTTAACATATAAAAATTTCTATCACTTTCCTATATACTAGCAATGAACAAGTGGAACTTCAAATTTAAATAATTCCATTTACACCAACACCAACAAAATAAAATACTGAGGTATAAATCTAACAAAATATACACCACTCCATATGAAATGTTGCTAAAAGGGGAAGCTATACATGGTGTAGGAACAGAAGACACATTACTCCCCACTTTTCCATGATTTCACACCCAGTGGTTACATGTATCCAAAATATTGAAAGGAAAATTCCAGACATAATCAACATAATTTAAAATATTTAAAATCATGTACCAGTCTAAGTAGCATAACGAAATCTCTTGGTGTCCTACTCCACCCTACCCTGGACATGTATCATCCATGCTGTGTACCCTACTGGCCCATTAGTCACTTACTAGCTATCTAAGTTATCAGAATGAATGTGGTAGTATCACAGTGCTCATGTTTCAGTAACTCTTAGTTACTTAATAATAGTCCCAAAGTACAAGATTAGTGAGGCTAGCAATTTTGTTACAATATATTGTTCTTTGTTACAAATTGCTAATCTTATGGTTCTAATTTATAAATTAAATGAGGATGTGTGTTGTTTCATATACACACATACACGTATATATTATACATACATAAACACACATACATATAAGAAAAACGCTAAATAGGATTACATACACTAGGTTTTATATATACAGTATGTATCTGTGGTTTCAGGCATTCAGTGGGGATCTTGGAACATATCCCCCTGTAATCAATTCTGTGGTAAACAGAAACTGTCCCAAAAAATAATTCCTTAAAAAAATGGATGAAAGACTAATTAATAAAAGAAAGGGAGTGATCACTGTAAGTCTGACTAAAGTATAGATCCTGGCAATTATCAAAAGCAGCTCAAGACCCAATCATTGCATACATATATGAATAAAGGAAATAAAAAAAAAAGCAGTTCAAATATGAGGTGAAAAGCTGTTGGGGGCTCTGTACAGTATGAAGCCAACCAAGCCTTTATATGTAATTACTAGTCTGCATGAAGTATGGGAGCCAAGGAACATTTTAAATGGCACAACACAGATATTTCAAGTAAAAGCCAGACTCAAAAGCTCTACAGTAGAAATGTCCTCTCCACCAACTTTTCCAAGGAAGAAGTGAGAAAATAAAAAAATGAAAGTGAAAGCTATTAATTAATTAAGAGACCTTAAGATCTTCAACAAATGGTGCTGGGAAAACCATACATCCAAACACACAGAAGAATGAAATTGAACCCTTACCATAAACCATATGCAAACATTACCTCAGAAAAATTTAAGACCTGAAACTACAGAACCCCTAGGAGAAAATATTCATGACAATGAATTTGGCAATGGTTCTTAGAAAAGAGCAAAAGCACAAGCAATAAAAGCAAAAAGAGACAAATAGAAGGATATCAAACTTTAAAACTCCTGCACATTAAACAATCAACAATGAAAAGGCAACCTAGAAAATGGAAAATAATTGTAAATCATACATCTGATAAGGAATTCCAGAATATATAAGGAACTCCTACAACTTAACAACAAAAACCCAAGCAACACAACTTAAAAAATAGGCAGAAGATGTAAATAAACATTCCCCCAAAATATGCAAATGACAATAAGCATATAAAAAGAATGCTCAACATTACTTATATATGACATAGAATAAAAACCACAATGAAAGACAGGTATGGTGGGACACACGTAATCCCAGCAACTGAGACAGTAGGATTGTGAGTTTGAGACCAGTCTGACCTACATGGTGGGATTCTGCATCAAAAAAACAAGCCCACAATGAAATGTCACTTCATACAAATTAGAATGGCCATAATCAAAAAGCAGAAAACAACAAGTGGTGGTGAGTGTATGAAAAAAAGCTAGAACTGGAACCCTTGTACATTGCTGGATGTAACATAAAATATGCAGCTGCTATGGGGAACAGTACCGAGGGCCCCCAAAAAATTAAAAAGACAACTAATGTATGATCCAGCTGTACCACTTTAGGGGATATATACAGAAGAATTCAAAGCAGAACCTCAAATAGATGATTTGCCTACCCATATTCATTACATTACTCATAACGGCCAAGAGCAAAGCACTCCAAATGTCCATCAACAAATAAATACACGAAAAATATGAGACGTTAAATGGAGAAACCAGGAGGGCCCCAGGGCCGCCAGTTGCCTGCACCCAGACGGCTTGGGAAGACGCAGACCAGGTGAGCTTTGCGGTACCGCGGTACTCCCACAGACAAGCCTGGGCCAGAGCAGCACAGCCCCCTGGACAGACTGACCCCCACCAGGGAAAAAAAGAGAAACTGAGTAATAAGCAATAAGAACAATAAAGACAAGTGGGAAAGAGGGTGGGGCACCCTGAGCGCTGAAAATTGGGGGAAGGGAGTCCTTCCCAGGACTGTAAATAAACAAGCAGGGCGGGCCTGAGAGGCTCTGGCGGGAGCGGGGGCGCGCACCCAGCAACCAGCAACCAGGAGCAGGAAAGCTTGTGAGAGTGGCGGAGGGAGGAAAACTCCACAGGAGAGGGGGGAGGGCCCACTTCCCATGTGAGCTGTAAATAAACACGCAGGCCTGACAACGCAGGTGCAGTGTCACCTTTCCCAGTGTGCTTGGAAAGAGGAAAGCTTGTAGCAGAGGCTCACACACAGGAGAAATTCTCTGCTGAATTCTATCAGACCTTTAAAGAAGAACTGATACCAACCCTCCTTAAACTGTTCCATGAAATAGAAAGGGAAGGAAAACTGCCTAACACATTTTATGAAGC